GATCCACGAGCTCTGACATAATTTCTGCACTTTTTATCTGTAAAGAAGGCGAAAACTCTTTGTGCCCTGGGAGTCTTCTGCAGGCAGACTTCTTTGTTTTCCCTGATTTCATTCCAGATGTCAGAGAGTAATTTGTGCTGTTGGCAGCTTCTTGTGCTATCTGTAGCAGTAAGTTTTTTTGGTTTGGTTTTGTTTTTTCAACAAAACACAGAGAAACCATCAATAAAAAACCCCCACCAAACAACAAACAATGCAACTCTTATTTTGATAAGACCAGAAGTCAAAATCCCCATAACAGGAACCCAGTGTGTGTTCTCTGTAAAAAAATGCTGCCTCACAAAATGGCAGCTGATCAGCAGGCAGGCAAAACCATTAGTTTTTATTTGTCATAACGAACAAATTCTTTTATAATTAGTTGAATTTGGATTTTCAGTGTTTTATGGTTTAATTTTCATGCCTTTTGCTTCCTGTATTGTGTTACTGCAATGCCAGGCAAAAGGGTAAAAGAATTAGACCTGAGAATAGTACAGAAAGTATGTAACAGTTTGCAGATAAGATGAACAAAGTGTGTCATTAGCTTCATAGCTATTATTAGCATGGAATCATCTCCAAATTATTCTTTACCACATTTCTCAAAGTTGAGGGGAGTTATTCTTCTCTACACCACCGTGGTACAGGGACCCTGAGTGACAGCCAAAAATAAGGGCATTTTTATGTTCCCAATATGAATGAAGATGAGTCCCCCTGAATGGAGTCAGGAGACTTTATCACTAAACTGTTATCTTATATATTTCCTATGTAGTTGCTCCCCTATTCCAAAGGACTTAGTTGGACCCCCATGTTTTCATCTGCAAGTTTGTGAGACTTACAAAGATCATAAAACTTCTTACCATGTGACTCTCCATATTTAGAATTTTATCAGCATTTTAGGGCATTTCTTCTCCAAAGCAGATATGCACTGATCATGCAGATGCCATTTTGTGTTAGTGAAGTTTCTGGGAGGATGCTTTAGGTTTGTAATTTAAATGCCAAGCTTTGTGGAGACAGGAGTGGTGGCGCTTTGAGTGACTCAAGAATATTCCTAGAGTGACACAGTTTGCCATAAACAGTTCTAAAAACTGACGAACTAAGCTGGATGTTGTTTTCTTAATGTGGGTAACAAACATCCTCATTTATGTTTGCTTTTCATCTGGTCTTTGAAACTGAGACTGCTCTTTGTGGTACCCAGCCAAGCTTCTGCTCTAAAATGTTGTGTGGAGATCTCTTAAAAGAGAAATGGCCAATAGTCGGACTGGCAGAGGGTGCCAGGGATGACTGTTCCCTGTGCTGCAGGGTTGAATGTGTGGTGGCACAAGGTGAAAATCTAGAGAATTATATTCTGTTTTATACCATGTCTCTTTGCTGTTGAGAAAATTGAGAACTAAGGGAAATTCTGGAATCTGCTTGAAAAGCTTTGAGAAAGTTGAGGATCCCTGTCTACGTGATATTGCTCTGGGATTCTGGAGTACACAGATTTATTTGTTATTCTCTGTGTTTGGTGTAATGCTATGAAACTTCTACACTAATGTAGGTGAATATTGAAGCAAACTCAGCAAGAGGTAATGTATACTCCAGCAAACACAGATGAGTCATGGTTTACTGACATGTGTGTTTGAGGAAATTGTATTAGGTTCAAACTGGTTTTTCACTTTGGTGATTTTTGTTGGTTTTTTGCTTTTTCTGTAAGCGTGAAAATCATGTATGACCATTGATTCCTAAAGCTGTTTGGTCAGTTCAGGAACAGAATCTATTCTATTGTTTCCTTGCCATCTGTAATTGCTTTGCTCCTTCGTTTAATGTGGTGCTCAGTAATGAGTGCGGACTTGGAGTCTCATACTTGAAGTACTGGTATAAGTTTTAGAAGGAACTCAGTGCTATTTCAGAGGAGTTCCTGACCTGCAGAGGAGTTCCTGACTTCTTGATTAGTTTTTTTTTTTAATTTTTTTAAATTTTTCTTTTATTTTTTGTTTTTTTATATGTCCATTTCTTTAGTGAATTGTAAATTGGCTGAGATGTCCCTTCTACTTTTATATTCTTAGAGATGTGTTTTTTCTATGGTTAATTAGAGCTTAAGTGGTATAATTTCAAAAGCTTATATAATTATTTCTTTCCATTAACTGTCAGCTCATGAGGAGTTTCTGTCCATCCTTATATATTTTCCTTTTAAAGTCTGTAATTTCTGTGCGGGGGTCGTCCTTACAGTTGTGTCTGCAAATTGACTGCTTTTTCTCTGCTTACTAATTTTTGCAGAAATGCTTATGGTTGTCCTCAGTGGATGCCTAAATACTTCTGGAGATTTTGTGAGTAATCAGCCCTCTCTGAGACCTGTGTGTTTATATGAGTTCAGAGACGTTAGTCTTTTCATAGTTGCAGTGCTGGATTGAGGTTATTTTAAACTGTAAAAAAACAATTACTTCTCCATCCTCTTGCCTGATGATGGCTGTCCATTCTCCCTGGCAAAGTACTAGTGCAGAGGTGTTATGTATGTGGAGTCTGTGGTGTCTCTACGCTCCAGGAAGGGAGTTGATAAGGGGATTTATGTCTTGGAAACCTGGGTTTCATCAATCCTTTGCATTAATCACTCCACAAGTGTTGAACTCCAAGGGATCAGTTTTGGAGGTAGACACATCCATCCCTACCTGTGCTCCCCTCAATTCTCTTAACTCTTCTAGGAGATGTGAATTATTCCAATTATTTTGCAATATGTGCAGTTTGTAGAACTTCAGGTAAGTGCTTGAAAAATTCAAATTGTTACATTCATTGATTTTGAGACACAGCACAATGGTTTTTTTCAGGAAGCAAATCTGCATTGATAGGGAGAGCAATGGAGTGCTGAGCAACCAGGTCTAGTGGAAGGTGTCCCTGCCCACAGCAGGGGAATTGGGACTAGATGGTTTTTAAGGTCTCTTCCAACCCACAGGCCATTCTATGATTCCATAATACTGTGAACAGGTGGCAAATCTTAGGGCAAAAACTGCTCTCATGACTACATTACCCCAGCAGAATGAGCACAGCAAGGCATTGCAGGGGCTTCCAAGAAGTTGCAGGAAGGGACTGAAGTTGTCCCACGCCTCTCTACCTTAATTAGTGATTTGTGTCTGGGCTCTGCAAAAGTTTGGATTTGCCTGGATTTATTTTTTGATAACCTCTGCAGATGTGATGTCTGGGACAGTGCTGCTTGGACAACTGTTTATTGCAGCTGATATATCCTCTTCTTGACCTCATGACTCCCATCTAGTGTCTTGAATCTCTTGGGAATAACTAATGCCTCAGCTCTCAGTTCCTTCTTAGTTTCACTATCAGCCAGCTTAATGTTCACCTTCCTTCAGAGTTACAGGAAATGAAGATCTTCTTAGATAACATAAGTGCAGATGAGCAGTATGTTTGGTCTATGGGGAAATAATGTGAACAGAGAGAAATTACAGATAGTAAAAATAGATGTGCGTTTCAGAGGTAGCTCTTATAATTCTTTTTTCCACTTTGATTCTAAAGCATATTTAATGGTTTAGTGAAAACTTCCAAAATTTAACTAAGAGTCATGCAGGCTTTCACCCTTAGTGGGATTAGTTGTAGAGATAATGCATGCAGCAAATTTGCCATAACCCCTGGGGCTATTCTTAGCAAGGAAACTTGTAAAGGGTTGTCGTCCACCATCAGTTAACTGCTGCAAATGAGTTAATGGCATTTTTTTAGCACCAGTAAAACATTAAAAAGAAAGCACAAATAGTCAGGAAAAAGACGGGTTTAATGAACTAGAAAATCTACATCGTTGTATAGAGCGATAGGAAACATACAGTGTGCTGGCAGTATTCCAGACTTAATTCAGTTTATGTCTTGGATAACTAGATTTGACTCTTCAGTAATAAAAATGTGTAATGCCAGTTACATAGTCCTCTTCAGCAGAGAAAGGAGCATTGCTTGGGAATGAAAATGTTTAAGTCCCAGCAGAGGGCAAAAAGGGCTGCTGTGACTGCTATCTTTCCACACAGGGGTTATTTATTGCCTCTTTTATGGAATTTGCACCATGCCAGAATTTAGATGAGCTCATGTACAGTGTACAATGCACAGTGACTCGGAGCTAAATGGTTATGAAAAACATGACATTTGTGCACTCATGGTGCCAGGTTTTAATGACTGAAGAATATGCATGTCTGTGTGAAGAATTATCAATGTAAGATTTTAGTCTAGTTTGTAGATACTTTTTAGGACATACCAATATCTTTGCAATGAAATGAATTAGTAAAAATTAATTCTGCTCTTTGTACATGAGATAGTTATTTCTTTAGGAATTGCTTACTGTACACATCTTCTTTTTGTATCCAGTTCTTGAATATAAAATAAAAGAAAACTTACAATTTTGGTATTTCATTGATGGTATTACTAACTTCTCATTTGACCCGTGGGGATTATGTTCTTGGGGAGGGAAGAAGGAAGAGTTTTCAGTAAGCAAAACCAGCTGCAGCTGACTGTTGTTTAAGCCAGTTTACTTTACAATAAGTTTGATTATTAATATGTCTGAAATCTGACTTTTGGTTGCTATGGTAAAAGTTACATGACATAATACTATCTCCTGATTAGTTTAATTTGGAAATTAGCATCTTATTTTGGCTTGCCTTGTGCTCAATTTGTAAAGTAATAGATGAGATTTTCAAAATTAATACTTTTTTCTCTTGCTTGATTCTAATATGAGCGCAGGATGGAAGTGGTACTTCAGGGAATGTTCAGTTTCTCAGCTTCATTAATATTTTACTCTTTCTAACACTGTGTAGATAGGTCTTTCTATCATGTTAGAATAACTGAACTACTAAATGATTTATAAATAAAGAGCTTGTTTGAGATTCTTAATAATATTCTGATGTGGCTCTATATCCAGTTTGGGAAACAAATTAAAGCATAACATGCCAGAAGTTATTCGAGTCTCCCTGAAATAACTTTTTCCTTATTTGTCTTGTTTTATGCAGGCTTTTCTTCACCGAATGATCCAATGTGCTGCAGCCAAAGTGGATAAAAATGTCACAGAAGAAACAGTTAAGGTTAGTCTCCTAATTGCATTTTTTATTCTGTTTTGTATCTGATATTTCACTTATATATGTTTTATTCTTTTGCAGATGTTGTTTTCAAATATTGAAGATATTCTTGCAGTTCACAAAAACTTCCTGTCCCTTGTGGAGGATTGTTTACAGCCAGAACCTAATGCACAGCATGAAGTTGGAACCTGCTTTCTGAATTATGTATGCTATCTTTTATTTCAGGCTTTTTTTCACATGTTTCTTTAATTTTTTGCCTTTATTAATTACTCTAATGATGATAAGTCATTCAGAGTCATGAAGCCTAAATATGACTTGATTGGGTAATGAAAAGTATTTTGAAGTTCGAAGTTCACCTCTTGGTTACTGTCATGTCCAAAAAAAAAAAAAAGATGGGAGGACAGTGAAGAAAGAACATATTAAATGACACTAATGGTGTTCCATCATTTTTATATTCACCAGATCAGCTCAGGCTGACAAACTGAGCCCTGCAACTTGGGTGAAGCTGTTCCTTTGTGTTAGACAGAGGTACAAGTTTGCATGCAGCAAGAGTAGTACTGCCTTGTTATTCCCCCTTAGTGCTATCCAAAAATGTGAATATTTAGTAAAGAATTTTATATACTGGATCAAATACCTCCATGGTTCTGGACTGTGAAGATATTTTATTTCTAACAACTGCAGTACCTCTACAAACAAGTGTGTTTGTGTGTCCTGTAGTAATTGGTTTCTAGGAGTATTATTTTTCCTGTTGGAGCAAAACAAGGATGTTACTGTTACAGAGCTTTGCAAAATGAAGACAAATTGGTTTGCTTTCAGTGGTAGACCTAACAAAAAGTCCAGGTTTCATTCTTATCTCTCATTAGAGTCTCATTAATTTAAGTCTTTAATTATTCATTGTGACAGGAGAAATCTATTAATGGTTAGTGGAAACAATTTACAGAAGTTGAGTAACATCAGTTTTTAACTTTGCAGAAAAATGGGTATTTGAAAGTAAATGTTACCAGACAAATGGGGTAATAAATGTCAACAAATTAGCCACTAATTTTGCGTTTTCTTCATGTATGTTTTTATCCTTTGTGTTTGTGGTAATTCAAGCTCTGAAATATTTCAGCAAAACCTTAAGAAGTTCATCAAAGACAAATATAAGGTCTTGCATCTGGGAGAGCATAACCCAGGAGTGCAGCACAGGCTGGGATCTACCTAGCTGGGGCTCAGCTCTGTGGAAAGGGACTTCAGTGTCCTGGTGAACCACCATCTCAATATGAGTGAACAGTGTGCTGCTGTGACAAAAAAAATAAGGCCAAGAGCATGCTGGGCTGCAACAGTTAAGAGCGTCACCAGCAGAGATAAACAAATCATTATCATTGGCTGTTCAGTGCTTCTTAGGCCACAGCTGGAATTCTGTGGTTGGTTGTGGTCGCTGCTGTACAAAAGAGATGTGGACAGTCTGGACAGGTTTAAGAGAAGAGCCACAAGGATGATCATGGGAAATGTTCCATGTGGCTGCCTGAGAGAACTGACTTGAGAAAAGAAGGCTTAAATGAGACTTTATCACTGTGTTCCAGTATTTAAAAGGTGGCTACAAAGATGGAGACTCCCATTTTACAGAATCACATGGATAATAGGAGGGGTAATGGGTACAAGTTTCTCCCAGTGAAATTGCAGTTGGACATCAGAGAAAAATTTTTCACAGTGAGAACAATCAGCCATTGGAATAATCTCCCCAGGGAAGTGGTGGATTCATCAGCACTGGACACATTTAAGATTCCACTGGACAGGATTCTGGGCCGTCATGTCTAGACCATTCTCTTGCCAAGAAAGGTTGGACCAGATGATCCTTGACATCCCTTTCAACCTTGTTTTCTGTGAATCTGTGTTTGAAATTTCCAAGTGGTGCTATCAGACTGTTCATAATTTGAGGCTAGACCTCAAATAATAAATGTGTGAAGAAGAGCTGACTTTCTAGAATGAAAGCCATATTAGCTATGCAGCTTTGCCAATGGTTCATTCCATGTTTTATTAATTTAAAAAAAATCAAAATGACAAGTGAAAAACAATGTCTCTTTTTGTTTCTGCAGAAAGAGAAATTCCGTATCTATGATGAGTACTGCAGTAACCACGAGAAGGCACAGAAAGTTCTTCTTGACCTGAACAAAATAAGAACAGTGCGGACATTTCTTTTGGTAAATAAACTTTGAACTGGTGCTCTAACTTCGTATTTTTTTAGATTTTTTTTTCACCTCCACCATGTAACAAGTGCAAGCACACCTGCAAGTGGTTAGCAGACAATTTTTGGTGGGGGTGGTGTTTCCAGAGGAAGGGGGTGGTTAAATCATATTTTCACTGCTGTGCTTGGATCTGTGGATAATACAGAATTAGGCGGTGTGCCTTGAATGTACTGGCCAGGAGACAAGGGTGTGAATCTCTATAAAGGACAAAGAATAGGACAAAATAGATGAGGAGGGATAGGGAAAGGAATTACAGAAAGGATCTGGAGAACTCAGTGCAACTTCTGAAGGGAGGTCCATATTCTGGTACTGTAGCTAGCGCTGTTGCAGACAGAAAAATCTTTTTTATGGATCATAGAGTAGCCATTCTAATCTTAGATGCTGACTTAATCCAAGATGAAAGAAACAGCTCCACAAGTAGTCTTTCACTTTATAAGACAAGTAAGGAGGAGTTTGAAAATGTTAAGTGTGATAGTCCTTGTGGTTTTTCAACAGCAAAACCAATTTCCATGTAAATACTGAGTTTGCTAATAGGGAATTTTAGTTGTTAAAAGCAGGATTCAGTGTGGAGTGATTTTGGTGTTTCCTCCATGGTGTCCTGTGGTAAAAAGGTCAGCTTTGAAATGAATAGTCTACTATATTGGAACTGAAATACCTGAGCAAGTGTCCCTGGATGTACTGTCAAATTTTGGAGTGATCAGATTTGGTCATTGTGTTTTGGGACTGGAGAACAAATGACCAGCAAAGTATCACAGATGTGTTTGAGAAAAAAAGATTCTGCCAGTGCTGAGAGTATCACAGGTCTTCAGTTAATTTTATTAATTATTTTTAGCATGCAGTAGGGTTCCACTACTGCTGTTGACAGAGTTCTTGGTGAAATCCTGTTGCATCACACTGATGCTTTGAAAGATACCAGATCTGACTCCCCAGCTGCACTTACTTACAGCCAAGTTAATGAGCAGTGTGGGAATTTCCTTATTGTGGGAGATGCTATGTGACATGAGGCACCATCTGCCTTTTTGCTAAGAACCTCTTACACAGAAATGGTTATTCACAGTTAAAACTGTTTCAAGGTTGTCCTATTTTTCCTCAGTGGTTGGCACAGTATCTTCCACGTTGTCACAGACTGGGGAGCGTCATACACATGGTTCTTGTATTGGGAGCAGCGTGGCCAGACTCAAGAAGAAAGGGTGAATGCTGACTACAGAGGCAAAAAGCAAAATACTCTGAAGAAAGATGACTAAGAGCTTGTTTTGTGACAAAGGAAGCCAAGTGTGCCATTGTGGCAGTTCATGATGTCAGTTTTAGGTGCTCCGGGGCATATGCAGAGGACTTTCTCATCTGGTGTGTGTTCCTCATAGACTTAGGGCATGATTCGAAAGCACAGTCAAAGCCTTCTGGGCACACCAAAGGGATTGGGTTATTAGAGTGGTGGTTATCTATAGATTACTGTGAGCTAAAACCAGAACTTTTGAGGCTTTGAGTATAGAGGCGGTTGTTGTAATAACTACAGTCTGCATTGCCATTATCTTACTTGGTCTTTATCAGTAAAGCTTTTGTGTTTGGAAGTGAAATCCTTTAGGCTAAAGCATCCTTTAGGATAAGACAGAAGCTGGTTAAGTATGAGTACAAAGCAGAGACTTCAGAGTGGGTGTGGAGATCCCCTAGCAGCACTAGTTGCAGGATAGGTGTGTTGGGTGGCCACCCAGTTGTGCAGCCTCTGTTCCATCAACATTGTGTCTGCATCCAGATCTGTGGCCTGTGTCGACCTCTCCTCTGGCTTAAACTGCTTTTGTTTAGTGTCCTCAGTTTAGACAACTTGTTCTTTGAAGCTGAGATTATCTCATGGCATTGCATCACAATTCCTTCTGATCTCTCCATAAAATAATTGTAATAGTTACTTTAGGTCTTTTTGTACTTAGAATTTAATTCCAGCAATTCCAAATATTTGCTGTGATGTGCTTTGTGTGTTTTCTTATCCCAAAAAGCCCTTATTCTTTTCTCTCTCTCAGCTGCTTTTACTGGGTGCTTCCACCCAAAGTTTAATTTACTCTCTGCTTACAAAATCAGACTTCTTGTTGAAACTTTTTAATAGCCTTTGCCCACAACTTTAGGATATTTTATTCATTCCACATCAAATTTAAATATAGAATCATGAAAAAAACCCATGTTTTTTTAAAGGTGTGTATTAGGTTGGCCATGTTCAAACATTCAAACCGTCTTTGATGCTACTTAATACTGCAAACACTTTTTAGAAACAGCAACGGCTATAGGGGTCACCCTGAAATGTTTTTATTTTTGTTTGTTGAAGTCTGAAAGCGTATTTTGAGCATTTTATTTACTATTTTTATTTGCTGTTTTTTAGTTTCAAACTCTAATAAAAAGTCCTCTTCATCAGACTGGATGAAGAAGGTACTAAGGCAAGAGGCCTGCATTCTGCCTTTTTAACTTCCTTGTCATGTATGATAGCCTGTGCATGTGTTCAAGCCTGTACTTTCGACAGTCTTGCAAACCTCACTCCTTTTATATGTATATTTACACAGTTTGTGTATACTTTAGCCAAACACTGGTGTATACGTATGGCCTTCTTTTTATTTCTGATAATTTTATTGGGATTTTTCAATAATTTGTGAACCTGTTCCTACTCTAGAACTGCATGCTCCTTGGAGGACGCAAGAACACAGATGTGCCCCTGGAGGGATATCTAGTGACACCAATACAGAGAATATGCAAGTATCCCCTTCTTTTGAAGGTACTCACAAGATTTTTATTGAGGACTTTATACTTCCTGTATAAAACTGGTTGCTAAGCATGTTTCTGAACCCCAGGAACAATCTTTCTACGCAGTGAATTATCTCTTTATTAAGATATTGGATCCAGCCTTGCTCCCATTAAAGCTGGTGGCCAGTCTTCTGACATCAGTATTAAAAGAACTGAGGAGCTTGGCTGGATTGAGATGATTAGCTCTGTTCTGCTTGTATTTGTAAGGTTGCCTCTCCATTGTTGGGCAGAAGTGAGCCATTTGGGAGAGTTTAATGAGACTAATTTCAGCTGGATTCAATCGTGCCCTTGCTTAAAATGCTTGGGATAACAGAGTTTATTGGTGGTGTACTTTGATGGTACTAATTTACTATCAAAAATGGAAAATGGAAAATATTAATGGATTTTTTTCACCAGAAAAACTGTGGAGTGACAGTAAAGTGCTGTAAATGGTTTCATGTACAATTATATGTTTATTGTTATCATATTGTGACAGCTTAAATAAATGAAAAATGTTAATCTGGTGATAAACATTAGATATTCAAACATCTGGATTTGTAATTTTCCCTGTTAGGAAATAAAATACAAGAAAGTAAGTATTTTAAGCAAATCATTGCTTAACAAATTAAGATCTTGTATTGCTTATTGTCCCAAACTCTGAGATGAAAACCAGAGCAGATTCTACTCTAGAAGCTACCTGAAAAATGAGTGTTGGACAGTATTTTTCACAATGCATGTGTGAGTATTGATCTGCAAAGTTGCCAGTTGTGAGGCATATGACATAAAAAAATCTAGTAAGAGACAGGTTAAAACAAAAAAGTTTTTAAAACAGATTAAAAATATAATCATTACAATGAGGTGTGAGTCATCCAAGATAGCTGTGGCTTTACAGTTCCCTTGGTCTATTTTGAAATTATTTTTCTATTCTATTTTTTGAAAGGCATACAGATAAAACAGGGAAAAATGACTAATGAATTACTCTAGAGCAATGAAATGAATATATTAAGAAAATTTAAATACAGGGTGTGGTGGCAGCAGGGTTAGGGCTTTTCTGAAGGCTGTTCTCAGTCAGCCCAGCTGGAAATGGGGAGTTGGTACTTTGAGATGGGAAATCTCAAACAAATGCTGCTGACTGAACTTTTGTTTATCAGCGTGGCTGCCAGTAGGTCTGAAATCAGTGAGTCACCTAAGCTATTGTTCACTGCTTTGCTGCATTGCATGAGGTTAAACAATAGTGTGGAGCTGAAGGAATGTGTTTTCTGCCCTGAGTTGCAGGAAAGGCAGGTGTTAATTTTGACATGAGTGAACTACTGGTTTTTTAAGCAGAATTGTTATCCTTGCTCTTGAACAGTTGTATCCTGCAGAATATAAAAAACAAACAAACCCAAACCCCAAAGCTCAACATGAAGAAACATTGTTGGAGGATGAAGTAGCTGAAATGAAAACTTCTTCCAAAATCATGATGATTATTTATTGTCAATAATTAGTTACTCTTGCATTTTAGTGTCCTCCTAGTACCATTTTAGAAGGGTTGCTACTTTTCTGCTTAGTAAAAGAGAAGACTGACTACTTTCTTTTTGTATGCTGGTTTGGTCCTGTAATGGACCTTTAGAGATCAAAGACTGCTTTCTTTCTTTATTTTCTTTCATTTTTTTTCCTTCCCCCCCTTTTTTTTCTGTGTCTAAATAGGAATTACTGAAGCGGACTCCAAGGAAGCACAGTGACTATGCAGCCCTAATGGAAGCTCTCCAGGCCATGAAAGCTGTCTGTTCCAACATAAATGAGGCCAAGAGACAAATGGAAAAATTAGAATTTTTGGAGGAGTGGCAGTCTCATGTTGAAGGATGGGAGGTACTGTCATTACTGTCATAAAATTTGTGGCTTTCTATGTTGAGGAGGGAGTAACAGTTTTCCACAAGTATGTGTTACACTGTTTTTGTGATCCTGAGGTTCTGTCAAGTCCACAGTTCTATGAAGCCACAGCTTTTGAGATTTACTGTGTAAATTAAGTTGTCCATGACTGAGCAGTGCTATATGAAATAGCAGACTTCAAGGAAAGATAGTTATTTAGCATTTGTATTAACATATATCTGTGCACACTGTCACATTTATAAATCCTAATTTAAATGCTGATTTTATTTTACTGCTGTGTATGCTGGCCTAGCAGCACTTTGTGTGGTTGAAAAATATTTTGTTTATTATTTATTATTGGTTAAGCATTGAGCCTATGAGTTTTTGTCAGCTTGTTGGTAGTCTTTTAATATTGGGTGAGCTAAACTAATTTTAACATATTCAATGGAATCTGTGTAGAGATTTGTGGGGTTTTTTAATGGTTTACAAATGGAAGAACTTCAGTGCTTCAACCAAGTTCTGTGACGTAACCATAGATCTGGTTCTGAGTTAGAATTTTAAGTAGTAACCAGAAGAGCCACCCTTTCCCCAAGAAAACAACAAGATCAAGTAGTTGTAGCACCAAAATCTTCCTTTTGAACTATTCTGAGCACTATAATTAGTTCATATGGAAAGACAGGTGCAGATAAGAGTGTATCTTTAAATTCCGTTGGGTGTTTTGTATTGACATGTCTGAGCTGACTGCACTGGAGTGGAAGGCAACACAAATGAAATTTCAACTAAAGAAATATAAAGCAAACAGTGTAACCAAATTCAAAACTGACTTAAAAAACCAAAATTACTCAAGCTTTTTACAAGGCAGATTTCAAGATGGAAGTAGTCCTTTGCTCTTTTGAATACTTGGCTCAAATATGCTAATTCTCTTCCTGAGAAAGCTGCTTAAGAACTGGAGGAAGAGGTTTTATCTCTTCAAGCTTTGTGGAAGGCTTGCAGACTGGGAGATGTAGCAAGAAAAATGTGTTTGTTATATGTTAGTCTGGTACTGAAAGACTTTGGACTATATAGTGGAAATTTCCTTTGTATGGTGCCTAGGAAAGGAAGGGTTAGGGATACAGATGGGATACTGAAGCAAAGAAAACCTCAACTAAGACCTGTCTGAACTTTAACTGAGAGAGTTCCCCACAAAGTCTGGCAAATAACTATTAGAACATTGAGTAGAATAGACAATTTTTAAGTAGATATTTGTAATAAGCAGAAATAAGAAGTAGTTTCTACATGGCTCTGTTCCCACCCTACACCTCCTGATTTTATTGTACCTGCTGTTTCTTGAACTTTGCTGTGCCTAAGGATGTGCTCTGGTTCTGCAGTAGTGGATTTAGCTTTCCCCTGTCATCCAGGAGGATTCAGCAGAACCAGCCATTGTCTGAAAGGAGCAGAGATCTGAACAAAGACCCCCCCTGCCCCCAAATACTACTCATGACACCACATAATTATTTCCTGTATGCCCCATGTGAAATCTTCTGATCAGTGGACTTTTGCAAAACCTTTGTTTTGTTAACAAGGTTAATTGAGTAGTATAGATTTGGTTCATTCTAAATGTGGATTAAGTGACTAATTTTACTTTAATCAAAATTCTTCATGCAGTGTATTGTGTGATTTGAAATGTTTCACTTCGGGTATTTTTTTCCTTGTGCAGAAGCATTTTCAAGAACTGCTTTTCCATTTCTGGCAAATCATCTCATGCTGGAGTTCAGTGCACTGAAATGTTTTGTTACAGGATGGTCACTAAAATTCACTGTGCATTATAAGAAGGAATTTTAGCAAGTAGAAAAGTGATATAATTGCTGGTCCATATTCAGACAAAACTTTCTGCACTTATTTGTAACCTTCTATCTGAACTAAAAGAAAATAAGTCAAAACAAATGCCATTGTGTTGTTTGTAGGATTTTGAAAAAGAGAGGACTAATATAAAGTAAAATTCTAAATGTTTGAATTGAGAGGAGGTCTAGTTGCCATCACTTAACAGCTCCTTCTTTTGGCTAGGTGAAAATGTGTTTCTTCTTGTTATTAGCTTGAAGTTGCTGTCATCAGCAGTAACTTGTGAAAGTTAGTGTATCTGAACATTTAAATGTTTATGTAATAACCTCATGATAGGAGCAATAGCAAGTTAAGTGCTAAATACTTTATGGCAAAGAAATTTGCTAAATAATCTTTATTATCTATCACCACTTTATTCCTTCTATTATTTTTAACTTTTCAATTAAATTTTTTATTGCACTACAGTGATTAAAATTCTTCTGCTTGCTTCCAATGTCTGAATCATAGATATTTGTCAAATCCTTCTTAATGAACACACTCAAGTATAAAGTTACAGTATTATTAACTCAATGCATTATTAGTCATATAAGTTGGTTAAGAAGTCACTGTTCTCAAACCTCTATCCCTGAACAGGGAATCCACTTTCCTGCATTAAGTTTCTTCTGAATTCTAGGTAAAACATCTGGTAGGAAATATGGTTGCTTTTGGAAATGTGCTAATAAGCAAAGGTAACAATAAAGAGAGAATGGTAACAATATGGACATAAGCACTTGAAACAGACTTTTTCTCCCTGTGCTCAGAATGTATTCTCTACTCTGTAACAAAGTAATTTCCTACCAGCCTTGGTGGGTTGTTTTTTTGGTTGTTTGTTTTATTTTTTCCATCTCCTCCTTTACTAGATTTCATTTTAGGGTTTTACCTGTGCTTGAACTGTGAAAGAGTGTCGTTGCCTTAAAATAGGATGTTTCCAGTAGAGTTATGTGGTGTTTATTGTATTTTAGCTAATTGGGTTTGATATCATATAGCAACCACAGGGCGCACAATCTGGCAAAATTGCCTTGATCCTAAGATGTGCATCTTTTTTAGACATAGTATAAGGTTAGTCCTTGAAATTGTAAGAATTCCAGAACATCTATATGGGCTCGCAGTATTTTGAAGGATTCCCAACAACAACTACAAAAAAAAAAAATTTCCTGAATGCAGTATTTGAGAGTGGATTTAATTAAATAAACATCTGGTTTTCTGCAATGCTGAAAATAAAGAAGCAAACTTGTTGGAGATTTCCTTCCAGAAGGAAATGCTTAGCGCATTGCTTGGCCCCAACTAGAAGGAAAGGGAAAAAAATAAAGACTATTTTTAGAATCTGATCAAAGCATGACTTGAATTCCTATACTTAAGTGTCATAAAATGAAGCTTGTGTTTATTATGATAAAAATACAGATTCATGGAAAAAAATGGAACATCTGTTTCAAGAAAGATGATTTTGAATATAATGACTTTCTCACTTAATTTCCTAAGTGGTTTAATTTATTGGCCTGAATTCAGAACTTGTGTAGGTGGCTGTCTCAGTTGGCGAATGGCTCAGCAGCTCAAGGAGTCTGTCAGTAAAATTTGCGTGGATGTTTCAGTGAGAGAAGAAAAAATAAAATTGTTGCATTTGTTGTAAGCTGGAAGCTGAACAACCCAATATGAGTCATAGGCCAACTTAGTGACAGTGGCATGGGGTATTCTGTTCCTTTCCATTCCAAATATTACTTGTTGATGTGATTCCATATCATCAAGTAATATCTTACCTGAGATATAGTCTCTCTCCTTCCAGTGTTTTTTTTTTGATATGTTCATGGTAGCCCACATTTCAGACCTCTCACCTAAGCTGTTTCCTTAGTTAGAATCATAGGTGTCTGACTGACAGCCAAAGGTTGTCAGAAGCCAGTTATACCTAAATAGCCAGCAGGCTCCAAGATTTGATAGGCTTTTAATTTCCATACCAGCTATCCTCAAAGGGCACAGAGTGTTTTGTTGGGGTGCTACCCACAGAAGAGGATTGCTGTACAGTCTTTAGTGACCCAGTAGGACAGATGGAGGCAAAATTAGTCTAGATTCACAGTATAAGCCTGCTTTGCAGGTTGTTTTTCCCCCCAACGGAATTATTTATGTGATTTGTTGGAGGATGATTAAAATAGGTTTGTTTTCTACAATACATGGCATTTTTGAATTGAAAGATTACGAAAACACTGGTTTCACTGAAAATAGCCCATGATTTCTACTTGCAGCTACTTCAAATATACAGAAGCATGAATAGCATAGTAGTAGTGATTTTACATTTAGGTTGAGCAGCTCTATCATCTCCTCTTACAAGAACTGAGCTTAAATGTCCATGAAAACTTTGAAATAGCAAATTGCTTTTCAAGTTCAAGTTGCTCATATTGGAAATTCCTGTGGTAGTTTCAGTGTGAACGCTTAATGAAAACACATTTGTGTCAGAAGGTTTTGGTAATACTTGTTCCAAAAATATTGTAGGTAGTGTAGTTCAGTTTTAGCTGTGCAGCAGAAAGTCTCACCTGCTTCTGGGATGAGGGTGACTCCTCCTATGTTACTGCAGCCTTGATCCTTCCCCCATGAGAGGGACAGCTTGGAGCTGGCTAAGTGAATTGTTCTACTGGGCTGGATATCAGCTGTAGGTTGGTGCTCCTGTTGAGAACCCATGGGAGGTTAAGGTGTAGCTCCATCCTTCAGGAAACCTTATGGTTGTCAGCCCTTTGAATTGCATGGTAGGTATGGAAGTGCTTGTGTGTGCTGTCTGCTTCATCCTTCCTCAGGCATGTTTTTCATCTCTAAGGGATGTGGTGGAGAGCCATGCTCACCCCAGGTGTAGAAACAGCAGTGCTTTCGTATAACATGCCCTTCCATTTTTCTCCATTTCAGCTCCATGCCAACCTAAAGTCCAGAAACAGGCAAGTCCTAAGTATTACATAGGCAGGGGAGTGACAGGGGATTTTTCTGCACTTGCACTGTTATGTAGGACAACAGGACGTGACTTCTGATCCTGTTTTATTATTCCCTTTGACTTCAGCAAATAAAACAGCCCTTACAAAATTCACTGACTTGCGACCACACCAGCATGGGTTGTGATCTTGTCAGAAGGTATCTGAGAAGTGACTTTAACACTGTTCAGTCTTTGGATGAAATATCTCAGAGGGAAAAAAGTATCTCTAGAACCTTGTTTTCATCACCTAGCAGTATATTTTATAAAGGGAACAAAATTAAGAGGATAACAAAGGGTAGTAATGTGGGACAGAAATGCTCACTGCCATACTGTCACGTTGAGTCATGAATGAGGTGATTTTGAATAAGTCAGGTAGCCTGAATTATATATACTTAAAATATGTATTAAATGTGCTGTTTTGTGACAAGATGTTGGCATGGTAGTAGATCTTGTTAGGACTGGTGGGTAAAGGTTGTGTTTTTCTGTACTGAAAATGAAATTCTTCAATAAGAAAAGACAAAATTTTTAATAAATCCTTTCTATGAAAAGAATTCCATCCTTTTTTAGAAAGCTGAAACTTCTTGTACAATTCTGAAGCCTTAAGCTGATATTTTTTGGCTTCCTTACAAAAAACAACTATTTTTCTGCCAAGTTGAAGTTTTGTGTAAAAACAAACCAAGACTCTTTAGAAAGTATCCAACCTTTTAAAATGCAAATTGTTAGTAAGTACTATTCCAGCAAATTTGAAACACAGAATAAGATATTGTTTACCCTTTAATACACAAAAGCAATGAAATGGAATGGAAAAAAGTGACCTGTTTTTCTGTAATTATAGTCAACAAGCATTACACACAGCCCTAATTTATGCCTAATTTATATCACTGAGTGTGCTTTTAAAATGTTTCAGTGTTTGATTTTGAATAAAGCTGTAAAATTAGCATGCTGGTACTGATGCTGTCTTAGGAAGGGAAATATGCTGTAGTGGCTATAGGTGACATTATTGTTGGCTTGTTTGATCCTGAATGGAAGCAGTAGTGGTTAGTTAATACAGATCCTGAAGTGGCTTTGCTTAGAGACCTGGATTGTGTTCCAATGTGATGGTTGTGCAATCTCACTTATCTCTGTAAACAGACTGCATTCTCCTTAGGGCAGTCTGAGCTATTGCTCAACATTCACAGCTGTGACATACAAAGGATGGACAGTAGGATGAAGAACTGTGAGAGCAGAATGCGTGATCTCTTCTTGGCTCTTAATTGAATCCATTTTTCTTTGGACTACTGTGGTTAGATCAAGAAGAGGAAGTAACTGCAGCTATCACATGCCTAAACCATTCAGAGCATGTGTAGATGACAGGAGAGTCCTGGCTTTTTGCACATTTTCCAAGCTGGCTTTGACTTCCTCAAGTCAAGAAACTCTTCAAACCATGGGTGTGTGCTTGATGCAGCCAGCATAATAGATAATAAAATTATCAATAGGCTGCATGTCTGAGTGGACATGCACATGGACAGCAGCTCTGTCCCACAGGAGCATGATTTTTCAGGCTAGCAAAATGCACCTCTGAATTCAAGGTAGGGATTCCTTGAGAGGTAAATTTCTCTTTACAAGACATAGAAGTGCCGTGAATTTTTAATATAATTTTTTGTACAATATTTTCCTTTGTTGAAGTTGCTTCTCTTTCATTAAATTTTATGAAAATGTCTGATGGCCTTTTCACATGATTGATCTGTCTTGAAGCAAAAATGAGGCATGGGAAGTTTAATCCAAAACATCTAAACCTTACCAGAATTCTGATGTCTTTGGAGGAAGTATACTAGACAGTCTTAGCTGTACGTGCCACTCTTAGATTTGCCTAAGTTTTATATCTTTGTGGTTTTTAATATTTGTTTCTGTTCTTAGCCTAATCTAGTGTAGAATTATCTACCTTTAGTGATGTTCAAGTACCAGGTTGCTTCAGCTTCCAGTTGCATCTTGGCATAGATTATGTCTTGTAATGCCCCATTTTCAGACATTTCTGAATAAAGTTACTGAGGATAGGAGTTATTGGATAAAGTTGGCTTGATTTTCAGGTGAGGTCTTTGCACAAAAGTAATATAATTTGGTAACTTTTTGTGATTAAACTGTATCTATTCACAAAGCTAGTGTTAAACATAATGATAGATTATTACATAATTACAATGCAATAAATTATCATTACTTCTTTCTAGAGAATTGTTATGCTTGTGAATTTGTAAAAGAAACTTTTCCTTAGTTGATGCAAAGTACTTCAGCTCTTACTAAAAGAGTAATCTCTTTCCACTCAATTTTAGGGGTCCAACATCACAGACACGTGTACAGAAATGCTGCGAAGTGGACTACTACTGAAAATTTCAGCAGGAAATATCCAAGAGAGGATATTTTTTCTTTTTGATAATCTTCTGGTCTACTGCAAAAAAAAGCACAGGTAAATAACTACTTTCAAAAAGAATGTGTTTTTCTCACACTAGAGCTAATCATGAGTATGCTGTTTCATAAGAACCGCAGCATCAAAGTTGGCATTTTTAGAAGAAACTTATCAACCAAAGAGAATTATTTAATTCAAGCAATTGGAAAAAAATTGTATGAATGCAGAATCCTGGTGGTGAAGTGTGGGGAAAAAGAATCTGTCTTGTCAGCCTTCTGCAGCAGGTTATATGTGATGGCCTCACTCTCTTCTAGGAAGTGTAAACAGTCTGAGTTTTTAGTTCAAACAGATGAGTATTCTAGCTTGTGCGATAAAATTAGTCCCTAAAGATTCGAGAGTTTCATGCCTTATATTTGTAATCAGGGAAAACATCTAGAAAGCTGCTGCTTCCTGCATTCCAAAGAGCAATTCCCTTAGTTCAGCAACAAGCTTCTGTACATAATGTTGTGAGGAATAAGAGTTCTCCTATGTACATATATCCCTCTCGATGCTCAAATTTGTCTCTTCAATCCAGAAGTTGTTTTAGAGTGGCCACTAAAGACATATTTAGAAAGATAGGGTAGAGATCTGGGTAGATTTAAAAAAATTCTGATATTTGTTGTAGTTTATTGTTCAGCAATTACAAATAAGTTGCTGGTTGCATATTATCTTTTCAGTTGTCCTCCACTAAGTTGCATATTTTTGTAGCCATATTCTCAGTAAAATGCACTATTGCATGAAAATTTCAAAACGCATGAAAGGTTGTCTGTGGTTTCTTTAGTTTCAAACAATCATGTCCTTGGCTGCTACCATGGTGGCATCTCTACAGATATAGGAGTAACTCAATTTAGAATATAATTTTCAAGTTTAAGATGGAGAATTACTTATTTCCTGCAAGAGACTTTAAATATTGATTGGCAAGTATGTAAAGAGAGAAATTGTGTTTTGGTAATTTTACAAAAATTGCCCTACATTTATGGTATGAGATATTTTAATGTAATTTTTAACCATCCTTTTGTGGCAGAGTTCTGTAAACATGGCATGTCATATTTGGGTTTACAATTTTAAAACTCAGTTGAGCTATTGGATTTACTTACTTTGGAAAGGGGAAACATGTAGTACTGAAACTTTATGCTTTATGCTGGTTTTGCTTTTTGCTTTCTTTGTATTTTTGATATGTTACTCAATTTTTGAATGATAAATTTATGGTGTAGTAGAGTTATTTGTAAGGCAGTAGTAAAGTAATTATTGAGAGGCAGGTAATTTTCAGAAAATTAGTACCTCTTTGGAGTGGATTAAGGTCAAAATTCAGGAGATCCTTAATTCTTAGGAACTGACCTTTGTTTGAGATACAGTATTAATTATCATCATAGGCAAAAATGGATAGACAATAATCCCTGGCTTATCTGAGGTGTGAAAAGCTGTCTAGAACTGGGGTTCTCCAAAGGCATTGGCTTCACTGGGAACAGTTACAGCAATGCTTTGGAACATATTGCAGTAAAACTGCCACAAACTTCAGCAATCCTTAATTGCAATTTTTGGTTAACCCTTACGTTAGGAAGGAAAGGTGTTGTCTTCATTCTTCCCTACATAAATCCCACTTATGATGCTAACATACGTAGGTCAAGATTTCTATCCAAAGATGTTCTCGTTTAATTTTTTTCAGTCACACTATCCCCATGCTGAATTTCTAGACTAACAGGGAGACCACATCAATTAGGAGAAAAGGCTCTCCTTTTTTTTGCCTTGGGTGGCAGACAACAGCATATAGGTACCAAAGTGTTGGAGCAGAGCCTTTCCAGAGTGGGACTTTCCCGATGAGCTCTCATTCAGGCAGGAATTTGGAGCTGACTCTTACCAGCCATAACATCTTTGCATTTACTTCAGCAGCGCCCCATTCAGCAGCAGTTTCCACAGTCCAGTTGCACAGGTATTAAGGTGTTGTGATCCTTACAGTGGTCTCCAAATGCTTCATGTACAGGTAGCAGTGTAGAAACATAGAAGAAGGGAGTGGATGATCTGCTCATCTGCTCTTTTTTCAGGAGATTGAAGAACAGCAAAGCATCTACAGATGGCCACCGTTACCTTTTCCGGGGCAGAATAAACACAGAAGTGATGGAAGTGGAGAACGTAGATGATGGAACAGGTGAGTATATTTGTGTGGCTCATTTAAAGAGCCATTTTTTGAGGTGCTGAAATCAAATGCAGCTCCATGATTTCTTTGAGAATGGAGAATGCTCCTTGTATTTGGAGAGAAAGAGGAAGATGCTGCTTTAAAAGCATCTGTGCTTTTAAAGATGCTTTAAAGCTTCTGTGACACATCATTGCTTTCTGGGCAGCAATAGATGGCTATATTATGCTTACATGAACAGAGTAATAAAATAAGGTGATATTTATTTCTCAACTGAAATTACATGTTTAACCACACTTTACAGCATTCCAGCACTCTTAAAAGGACTTATCCTTAGGTGCATGGTATATTTATAACAGCAAGTGGAGAACCAACCTCTGTTGGGATGAAACAATGTAAATGCTTACATTGTAACATAAGGAAGGTTTTTTAAAAATGTCTTTAGGGATATAAGCCATAAGATTACTTGAAATTTTCTTGACATACATCAGTAAAGTGAAAACCCAAGGTATTCTTAGACATGTCAATTTTTGTTTTAGAAACTTGAGTTTAACCTTTGAGGTTAAAAATAATTACTTTTTCTTTTGCAATTAAAATATTTTGGGCTTTTTTAATGTAAAGCTAGAAAAAAAAAGTGGTATGTGAAACTTGCAGTGGCATTGCAAATATGTAAGTCTGGAGGGAATTTCTGTGAGTTATATATTGCTTTTCCTGATATTTTAAAGTAGTGTTAGGTTTGTCCTCTACTATGGATTCCAAGCATTTCTCAATGTAATTTTGTTCTAAAATTGAGCATTAATAACAATGAATTTACTTCTAAGTAAGCTTCATAGGAATTGAATGTGTCTTTAAAATTAATTTTTTTTTCTCTGTTCTTGAGTTCCTTGTGTTCAAAATAGTTTGCTCACTTCTTGTTTTACAGAGTAGACAGTAGAACTAACTTGGAGAAAAAATTGCCTATTGTTCTTATTGCAACAAAATAGTTTATTTGAAGGCTATTGTGTCTTTCCACCATCTTGTACTTTAAAGTCTTTCAACCTTTTTTCATGTGTTGTGTTTTTATTTTATTATTATTTTATAATTTTATTTTTGTCCTTTGGATTTTGTTTTTTTGATCAGTTTGCTTCTGTCTTTTGTCATTCACATTCAATTTTATAAAGATTTTACATTAATAAATGCTCGGAATTCATGACTGAAGTGTCTAGAGCTGAAATTTTACCAGTGCCAGAATAATTACTGTAGTGCTGCAGCAAGGGATGTCTGCTACTAATCCCAGGATTGTTTGGCTTTTCTGAGAGCATTATTTTTCAGTCTTTTAATTTGTGCTCAAGAAGACCAGAGCAGAGTGTTTTGTGCAGTACTGGTGCCTAACCCATTATATTTTATACTATATTAATGTCTGAGAGTAGGACTGATAATTACTTTCTTTTCTGTGCTGAGTTTTATCTTACCATTTGTACAATTTGTTATATATTCAGAATTCACATCTTGTTCCCCAAAGCTCTTGCAATGCTTCTTGACTTGGTTCCATGAACAATGTTACCAATGAACCATTTAAGCTGTTATGAAAATGGTGAAAAATGCTGAACATAAGGTAGAGCACTGTGGTGTCACACTTGATTCATTGTCTTTGCTTACCAGACATTTTTTGTAAGAACTTCTTGACATCTGTTTTGGGTTATGTCCTTCACCAGGCCCACTGATTTAGTTAGTGATTTCAAGCTATCTATGTGTACACTGCAGTGAATTTCTTCAAGCCTCTTTGAGCTGAATATATTTTATTCAGTATTCTTTACCCTGCTATTCCCCTTTTCCAGCCTGTATCACTGCCCAGTGTTTAGCTTTATTTGTATAAAATCTCAGTGGTTTGTTTATGCAAAAAAGAGAGTTGATTATTTCAGTCTTTCCTGTCATGTACTCTTTGACTTCCTTTCATTTATTTTCGTTCATCTTCCTAAATGTGCTTTAGAAATACAAGGCAGTTTCCCTTTTTGCATCATATCACTTTCTAAGACAGCATCTCTTTGCTTCTAAGTGTTAACATTACAGTGTCCAGAGGATTATACCAGTCTTCTTCCTGATGAATATTCCAAGAATTCTGTTTCTATTAATCTTCAACTGACACCTCCCTACATACTGTAATGCATTTAGTGTTGGCTTTAGGAAATGTTTCTTTGATCCTCTATCTGTCCTACCTTTCTTCATTTACTTGTTCTAGCTATTCCATCCTTGGTCTTTTTCACACTGTTCATTTTCCTTCCTGCCTGTTTGTTTTCTTCCTCAATGAATCTTCAATTATAATGTGGCTAAGTGCAAATAGTCTTCCTCTATGCAGACACCAGATTTCAGCCCCAAGAAATTTTGTTACTGTCCCCATTTCCTATAGCCTTGTACCCAGTCCTGGAGGGTTCATGCTTCCTTCCCCCTTTCTCTCTGAAAATCTCGTATCAGATCTAGTCACTTTTATATACACATTATTTCCAGGATCCATACTCCTTTCCACACTTTTGTGACATCATTAATAGTTTAGTTAGTCTGATTTCTAACTTATAAGAGTTGCTGGATGCTCAGTCCCTGGAAGCATTTGAAGTCAGGTTGAATGTAGCTTTGAGCAACCTCATCTAGCAGAAAATGTTCCTGCTTATTGCAGGCTATTTCCTAGGGCCCTTCCAACCCAAACAATGCTATGATTCTTTTTACCTAGATTTTTTACTTATCACCACATTTTCTGCTTTTCCCATTTCAGTTTATCCAATATCCTAAGATTTATTTTTCCTTGTAATTACTGCTATTTCATCCCTCCTTTCTGTGGTTCTCTTTGGAATGTGGAAATTTCTGTGTTAATTCCCTGGCCTGTGACATCTTTCTTGTCACCCTCTCCTTTTATTTTTATTTAACTTTACCTGCTCTTTTCCTTCCTTGTGAGACTTCTGTATTCCCTCTCTTCACACAGATATTTTTTCTTTCACTCAATTATAATGTCCTTCTTTAACCTTTGTCTGTCCTGCTTTCTTTACTGTTCTCATTTGTTACACCCAGATGTCTTGTTTCTCATCCCCTGTAGTCATCCATGTTTGAGCAGTAGCCCAGTACTATTCTGCTGTTTTCTTTTCATCTCATTGCATTCTCAAGAGGAGTAACACAGTTGTCCAGGTGTCACTCCCATTAGCTTTGCATGTGCTTTTTTTGGTATTGTATTATTTTATTCTCTTTAATCTTCTATTACCTATCACTTTCTCTAATTCCTAATTTACAGTGGAAGCTTTGGGTGCAGAGTACTTGTATTTTCATATCTGTGCAGGACTCCTTGTCATTCGCTCACTCCAGATGGATGTCTTTAAAGACATTGAAGACTATTCAGTCTAGATGATACTTCCACAGTTCCTTACTGCACATTTTGGGATCCCCTGCTCATTTTATATAAAGAAACATGGAACTCCAGGGAGCAGGGCAACTGAGAGTGTTTGCTCCCAGCATTGATAGATGTAGGAACGTAATCTTTGTTGTTTGTGAGTAGAAGCATAGAAATAGCAAAACAGATCCCCAGTGTGGCTTATTATCATGCTAATGACATGCCTACAGAAATTAACAAAGCTTTTTCTGAAAAGCAATTTTTCTTTGATGAAATTAGGCCTTGGCTGAGTAGTACAGTTGGTGTCAGCTTTTTTTTTTTTGTTTCAGCACCATGAAGCACACTGTTTTTTCTTGATTGCGCTGATTAAAGTGGAATGCATATTACTATTTATGATCTTAAAATAATGTGGCTGTACAAGTATTAGAAAGGTGGTTTTATGGTAATCATATTCTTTCTTCTGCACCAGTTTCTAAAATTCACTTTTAAGAGAAAAATACATTTCTAAAGGCATTCATCAGCCACTAAATGAATGGTACTTAGTTTATGAAGAAAAACACTTCAGACTTAGGAAATACTGGATTTATGTTTGCTTCTAGTATAGTAGTTCTGTCCTCTCTAGTTTTGAACTGAGGCACAATATAGAAAAAATGCAACATGATAAAAGTAGCTGAAAACTGCATCAAAAAGTACACATGGAGGGTGGCAGTTGATATTGTACAGAAATTATTTCCTTGGTCTTTCTGAGCATTGAAGCCCCTAAGAACCTCTAAGAAATGTAAAAGTACTTCAGTACAGAGACTTCTGTTTATTTTTTAAGGGAAGAAGAAAATTCTTTTGTATATGGCTGCAACAAATTGCTTCTTATTCATCATTCAAAGATATGAGTCTTGAATTTTGAACAGTATGTTGCAGTTCAAATTACAAGCTTTAATGTATTACCAAGTCACATTAGAAGATGATGTCATCTTTCATCACCTTTCCTAGGGAAGTTGTAGGTTTAATGATTTGTTGATCCTGCTCATTCAGACTTTGCATGGGGCAAACGGCAGGCTCGTGCTCTTCTTCCTTCTGTAACCATTATGTCAGGTTTTGAAATTCTTTGTTTAGCCTGGCTGCCAGCTGTGATTGTATTGATGTGAAGAATGTGCAGATGTGCAGAGCAGCTGGGCAGTCAGGACATGCACACCTCCTGGCTGGCCGGCAGCTCGTGACCAATAGCCGGGTCAGAGAAGGTAGGAGTTTATATGGGATGAAAGCATCATGCTGAACTGCTCCTGACTATGGATATTGGGTGTACTAGGGAGAAAAAATGGCTCATGGAAGCCTTGGAGAATTGTAGGAATTGCTCCCCTTCATGGGGAGTGTGAAGAGCAAGGGAGAAAGCAGATGTGTTGCAGTTGGAGACAGAGGCTGAAGTCCAAGTGGGCATCACTTGGAGTTTGTGGTGGAGTGAGGTGAGTGTGTTCAAACAGCCAGGGTGCTCCTGGCCCTGCAGTTACAAATCCTCAGATGCCAAGGAAGCTGCATATTTAAAAAGTCATCTCTACATTGAGAGATTCAAGTGTCTGGACACACCATTTTTTTTCTGATTTAAGCTACTAAGTTGACACCAAATTTTTGTCCAAAGTAGGGCAATCTGAATCCATTTGTGAGTCTGAGCCCTAATTTTTGATTTTGTTTTTGGCCACAATTTTAGCAACTATGGTTCAGTGAACCAGTAATCATTTACCTACACAATGTGTCTTGTGATGATAGACATATAGTAACAAAGACCACAGGAAAATTAGGACCCTTTATTTTTAGATGTATTCACCTCCAACTTAATAAATAAACAAAGGAATCTTAACTTCCTCCAGTAGTGTTTCTATCCGAGACTTATTTCTTGTCCTTGACTTTTGGGTCTGGTTTTCTAAGAATGCATGAATAATATGATGGGTAATTTTCAAGAAACAATGTTTTTAAAGAAACAAAGGATACTATGCATACGCTATGCAATAAAAGTATGATAAATAGCTGAGTGGCATAAACATGATGTTGGGAAAATAACTTCATTTTTTCTCCTGTCATAGACTTGCTTGCACTTTTTTTACGTGCTTTGAGTACTAGAAAGTTTTGTTGGTTTAGAAATTAGCCATCAGTCTCATGATTTTCTAGTAGTTCCTGACATTTCCCAGCCCAGTACACAAAGCTTGGCTGCTTTCCATCTAATTAAAATGCAAAGTTATTGAAAGGATACTAGCATGTCTGCTGAGATTTATGATAAATCTTAGCAAGCATTTCAGCAAGGGTTTCAGTTTCAGAAAATCTCATCTCATCATAAAAACAGGGCTGAAAAAGTATTTACTAAAAGAAATGCTGTGTAGTTATTGCACTAGTTCAGGGTTGGCCTTAGGACTTTTTTGCTGCTTAATGAAAGTTTGTGGTGAGAAAATACTGACCTTTGCTTTTTCTTAATGTTTTGTATTGTGGTTGCTTGCTCTGCTTTTTTAGTCTGTGTTCTATGAAAAAAAGATTATTTCTTATCATAAGGCATTTATTCCTCACAATTTTTTCCCCAGGAAAGGCATGTAATCCTAGTGAAGGATAGTTAGGGGATTAGTTTTGGAATTTCTAAATGAGATGTATGGACTAGCATGGTAAAATCAATTGCTATTGAGGTAAATATAGAGTAATAAGTAGTAAATAATTTGATTTCTATAGCATTGATATATTATTATGGATCTTTATTATATTCCAGTTTGTTTAAACTAGTTAGCATAGCTATTTTCTTATTCAGGTAACCCATAAAGATTCACCAAATATCTGTGCTTTGATTACTTGTGACATTGAAATTGTATTTCCCCCCTGTATATTTAGTCCTTTTTTACACTTAATAGTAAATCAAGTCAGTCAGCATTGCAACTCAGTAATTTAAGGGGGAAAAGAACATTGCTGCTTATTTAAGGAATTATTTATTTCAGTTTAACACAAAAGTACTCAAAAAGTATCATTATCTTTTCTTTTAATAGGACTCTGCCTGTTTTAGTGTTGACTTTATACCTTCTTCCATATGCTAGGCAAATCTCTGTTACACTTTACAAAGGACACTATTTACTAAAATTAAAACTACAGTTTATTAAGTTATAACATAGTTCACAGTGGCACAGATAAGTTTAAATTAATTTTTATTCTTCTGTTTTTTTCTGGGCTTTTAGGTGTGGTGATAAGTTTTTAGTAATTGTGGCAACTATTGCTAATGTTTTTTTTAAGAGTTGGTGCTCTTTAAGCAATTTTGTCTATTCCCAGCTGACTACCACAGCAGTGGCCACACTGTTATTAATGGCTGGAAGATCCACAACACAGCAAAGAATAAATGGTTTGTATGCATGGCAAAAACCCCTGAAGAGAAGCAAGAATGGCTGGAAGCTATTTTGAAAGAGCGAGAGAGAAGAAAAGGTAGGTCAATAAACTTCCTTGTGTTGCTCTATCAGAAAGCCATACTGTATTTTTATGTTGAGATATAAAGCAAAACCAGCTGGTAGGCAAACTTGTCGTGCCAGGTTCAGCTGAAGATTTTTGATTACCAGTCTGGGAAAAATGAATCAAACTTGTACTGGGAAGGGCATAATGTCTTGAATCATATATGCTGGAGTAAATGCTGAGAAATGGGGAGATGATTTAATCTGTGATTTTACAGCTTATCCTCAACCAATATAAATTGTCATAAATTCATTGAGGCCTGTGTATTATCATGGTTTGTGGTATCTGAGGGTCTATCCTAAATGCCTTGTGGGATTTGTATGCACTGATTTCCTTTGTGACTGGCCATTGGAATCACTGAAATGAGCAGGCTTTTTGTGTTGGATCTTGATGTTGATGATCCAAACTGAAATGGTGCACAACACATCAACAACTCCATCTTGGATGTATTGCCTCCTACCCAAGAATGTCATCACCATTTCTACTCACCTTTGGAAAGCTACTATCTTTCTGAGTAACTGAATTAAGGTGAAAGAATACTTGGATGAAGTATCTCAAATGTGACCACAAATAACTTCACATGTTCAAGGTGAACCCAGCACCAAGTAGATGATTGGAAAGGGAAAGATGATGCATCATCACTTTCTGGAGCTCATTTCATTTGAAAGCCCAAATATCCTAATTAGTAATGCTATTTGGAGCCTTGATGTTGAAAGAAAATAGGACCTTGTATTTAGATCTGTGATTCTTTTCCTGATTTTTGTAGATTTTCCATCGCCTGTTGCAGTAACTGTTGGTTTGTGCCTCTCTTGTAGGTGGACACTAACAATATTTCCTTTGGTCTTCTAAAGTTGAATACTGGATGTTCTAGAATCTGTTGTAGGATCAGAGTTTCAAGTAGGGCGTCTCAGCACTGACTTATCAGTAGTGTCATCAGGAATTTGTAGCAGAAAAGCTAAAAAGATGCTTTAGAGGTCTAAACTGTCAACGCTTTTAAAATATGAAAAATGTTTAAAAAAATGAAAAAGCAGTGTGGTTGATATAGTGCCAAATGCAAAAACCCCAGGTTTGTCTGCTTCTTTGTAGGACCTTGTATGGAACTGACTAAAACATTTTCAATAAATCTTACTTCTCTGTTAAGTTTCATGTCTCCCTGAGGCTCTTGATGCTTTAGGCAAGAAATACAAAGAGTAAGTAGTAGTATTTTATATTGATGAATTCTGACAATTTCATACTAATCAGCTGAGCAGCTGGTAACAGAAATGAGTTGGAGCTAAACTTTGGCAAGCTGGAGGTCTGAGGTAGTCATCCCAAAGCCAGTGCATGTCTTAGGATTTTAGCATCCTAGATTTGTGGAAGCTTTCAGGTCCTGATGCTCTCAGTTGGTTTGCCACCAAGGAGAAAACCATGAAACCAGGAGGAGATGAGACATACATAGATTCCGATTTTAACACAGAATTGTCAAAAACCAAATGAGTTGGAAGACTCAGAGATTCGATGGACGTTTCAATGACAGAAACAAAATCTCTATTTTTACTTGGAATCCATGTAGCAGAAGCTGAACAAAAAGGAGCTGAACCAAAAGGAGCCTAACAAATACTCTGAATTAAGTGATTTAGCAGAGTTTTCAGCTTTTGTAATAAAATTATAAACTAGGATCACTTTGTAGATTGTATTTGCTTGCTAGAGGAAATAAAAATTTATTGGAAACTTCTTACAGAAATTTTCTGTCAATTTGATGGCTTTCTTGTAAACCCTTGAGGCATTCAGCAAGTTAAAAATTTATTTCAAAGGTGGTCATCTTTAAGATTGATGATGCTGTGATGACATTACTTGAAATGTCAATACAAATAACAGCATCAACATCCTATAAGCTCCAGAAGCTGTATATTAGTTAAGTTTTCTTTTCCCTGGGGTACTCCAAGTTTAATTTGTTTGTGTGACATCACTTCTGTTTGGTTCATGGATGATGAGAGACAATCCTTGCTCTGTTCCCAGTACCACTGTTAGCTTCTCATGACAGACACATTTCTTCAGGCGGTATTTTCAGAGCTAAAGAAGTACCAGACCCTTACTCAGATGGAATATCATAGCATGACTTGGTTTGAAGGGGGCCATAAAGATCTAGTTCCAGCTCCCTGCCAAGCCTGAATGCTTTTGTGGAAAGTGGGTGAATTATCTATTTGAAACTAGCATATGTATGCCTGATAACTTCTTACTACTATTAATTTGAAACTTGAAAAATATTCCTTTTAGTGAAGATCTTTTTATTATCACATGGTAAGTGCAAAACCAAGGCTCCTTATTTTACACTTGTGAAGACATGACTACTCCCTTGCAAATGTTCATATACTGGTGTCAGTTATTACTACAAAATAAATGGTAATGTAGATAGACTAACAAATTAACTTCTCTGTGAGAAAAATATCTTTTGGTTATGCTTTATGAAGATCAGATGTTCATGCTTTAACTTGATCATGAGAAAATAATGAAAACCAGTTCTTTAACTTTTTTTTTGTATGTAAAATATCAGTATTGCTTTTCCATTTCAGGAAAGATACTGAAATATAACGGCAATGTCGCTTCATAAAACGTTAATGTATTTTTGGCAGGTTTAAAATTGGGCATGGAACAGGACACTTGGGTGATGATCTCTGAGCAAGGAGAAAGATTGTACAAAATGATGTGCAAACAAGGAAATCTCATCAAAGACAGGAAGAGGAAATTAACCACTTTCCCCAAATGCTTTCTTGGAAGGTATTATATGTCTTTGATAGAATACATTCTTACCATCTAAACCCACATTTTGAATCTTCTTTGGGATTCTGTAGAAACCACACTTAATTTGTAATGTCTGTTAGGCCTATTTGAATCACTGAATTTAGCCAAAATGTAAAATGGTCTGTCTGAAATTTGTGAATGTGATCTTGTTTTGCAAAGTAGTTCTATTAAAGAGATAAGACTGCACAGGGCATGATGAAAATATGGAAATGCATCAAGTGAGTTAGTTTCTCTCTAAAAATAATTACCTACTTTTAAAATGCATTTTGTTTCTGGGATGACTAGTTTGGGGTGTAAAAATATGAAAATATGGAAATGCATCAAGTGAATTATTTTCTCGCAAGAAATAATTCCTAACTTTTTTAATGCACTTTGTCTCTGGAATGAGTAGTTTGGAGTGTAAAATTTTATTTATTCTACCTAAGTAATCTTTGTCTGTCCTCCTCTTGCTTGTAGGTCAGGAACAGATTTAGTAATTAAGGTTTACGTGTTTAAATTACCAGGAGGATCTTTATAATGCCTTATTATGCCTATGGATGAGAAGACTGAAAGAGAAATAGATGCCCTAAAAGTGCATGTATTTGAAAAATCATTTGGGAGACAGAAGGGTTATCACTTATTTCATTTGGACATAAGTTAATTATGAAAACTTTGGACCATAAGTTAAGTGTGAAAAGAATTTTTATAAAATAGAGTGTTTTGCAGAAAAAGTTGTTGAGAAGATACCACTGGGTTAAAAAGGGGAAACAAAAATTGGGAGATTCTCATGCACTGTCAGAAGTGGCACAGTTGAAGAGAAGTGAAATCAGGATTAATCATTAATTAATCAGATTAATGATTCAGTTATAGTAGAATCATGTTTCCTCAGGGAAGTTGTTGGATGCAGGTGAAGAACACACTTATGCTGAGGAGCCACTTAAATCTACCATCAAGTGGCTTCTTTCCAGTGCTATCTTTGGAGTGAACTGTTTTGAAGAATGCCTTTGCTGGTCCCAGAGTCACCAGTTAAAACCCATGAATGTGAAGGTTGCACTGCCTCGTTGCACTTTTCTTTTGGTTTGTAACAAGCTCATTTAATGTGCTGTAGATCCAATGTCTCTGAACTGCATCAGCTTTGCTTTGGTAGGAGCCAGGCATTTTCAGCACATTAATATATATGTGGTATATGTGCTCTGGATGTCAATATGTTTGACACACCTTGGAAGTAACAAACCTACTGTTCTGTCACACTGTGGTTATGCTCTGCCATCATGGCATACCTGCCCTGGGCAGGTGCAGTAGGAATGGTTGGGATTGCCCTGTATTGGTCTGTCTGATGAAATGCAGCTATGCTAGTTGAGGATATCCCAGAAAACATGATAAATCTTTACCATCTGCCAGATTAACTTCATGCGTGGAAAACTTCTGAGGAGAAAAGACATCTCATGGGAAACTGTATGTGGTTATGTCAAAATAATAGAAAAGGTGCAAAGAGTGAGTTTTTCAAAGGTGGTACAACATTTTGAGCATCATTGGGCTAAAGAATCATTTACAAGACTAGTAAGAAACACTGGTAATTAGTGAGGTACATGCAGTAAATCTGGTGGTATGAGATACAAAGTTTGTTTTCTGTATCTGTTTTTCAGTGAATTTGTGTCCTGGCTGTTGGAAATTGGAGAGATACACAAGTCTGAAGAAGGTGTTCATCTTGGCCAAGCTTTACTAGAGAACGGAATTATTCACCATGGTAAATAGAGTTAGTTTTAACTTACTTCTTTTCAAGATAATTGTTGTAACTAGAATGGACTTAATTTTATTTGACTAAAAGATGGTCTTGTTAACACAAGACAGCTTGTGGAATCTGCATTATATCCTTCCAGGGGCCTCAAGGGGCCATTGTCCATGTCTACAGCAGATTTACTGGGAAAGGCTCCACTGATTTAATCAGATTTCCTCTATGCTGTTGGGATCACAACATTGGGAAAAAGGACCTAGAGAAACATTGCTGTTCTTTTGTAAGCAAAAAGAAATTCTGGGGAAACGCAGAACGGTACGCTGCTTGTAAGGATTCTAACCCTTATTAATGCCAGGCATTTTAGGGAAGGTGTTCAACTAAGAATTGTACATGACAGTGAGTCAGCTGGATGTAAGTAAACTGGAGAAACTTCTGGTTTTGAAGCCATGTTGTACAGAATCACATATCATAGGTACAGTCACTCAAAACAAAGCTGTCAAGACAGTTACTGTGCCATCATAGATCCAGGGTGTAAATTTAGATGGAATCTTTGATAATATACATTTTAGTACTTCTATACTCCAGCCAGCAACTAATTTAATACTTAAGTTCTTTGCAATGATTTTAATGTCCTTGACTGGAAAGAAAGTGGGAGAAACATAGTGTCACTGAGCTGTGAGTGTTTTAAACATACGCAGAGTAGGAGGAAAAATATTAGGGTTATTAATCAGTAGTCATGTAGTCGTCATTTCTTTAATGTCAGTCTACATGATTTTCTTCCACCATCATTCAAATGTCAGATGCTATTATGTTTACTACACACACTGAACTGTTTTCAATGGAATGATTCTGTTGCCAGAGATTCTTCTCCTGATCTTGTAATTTATATCCTAAATACACCCATAGATTTTCTCAATACAAAGTTAAATGAATATTGTGTAACTTCATGAGATAAAAGGGTAATTATATTAGAGCACAGAAATGTGAGCCAGACATGCTACTTTGAATAGTGAATCCAGCTGTAGTTCACTGAAAATAGCATTCCTAAAATAAAGTTGAATGAACCATCTGTTTTCACAGAGGGAGCAAGGGAGGAAGAGCGTTTGGCTGTTATTTACATTGCAAATATTGTAGAGGCCTTTGTTGAGAGCTTGCATATTCAGTAGGCTGGCCATTATTGTCACTGGAGTTCATTCTAGCAATGACAGAACCATGTTGTGATAGACATTGTTGTACTTCCTCATGTGTGAACTCTAGCAAGCAGAAAAGTTGCAGTTTTTTGCTTTTTGTATTCCCTCCACTTTTATATAAAGGGAAAAATCTGTTTGTATGCTGCTATTTTAAATATACCTTGTGGAATTCTCTGATATCTGAAATGACAGATACCATTCAATGGAGTGAGGTAATTTGTCCACTTGCTGCAGCTGATTAGAGATGGAAACCTTGTTTCAATGGATTAAGGACCTTTGCAGTTACAAAAATAAACTCAATATCAGATAGTTTTAAAAGGAATAGGTATTTATGTGGCTGTGCAGTTTCTTGGACTGATGTAATGATCTGATTTTAAATTACCTTGGAAAAAAAATTAAAAGAAAAGAGCAGTTTAAACCTTAGTGCATGCCATATAAATACCTTTTCCAGCATAAATATGGGTACAGTGTTGGAAATGATGCACAAAACAACTTGGCCTTCCTTGTTTTAGTGGTAATGCAGCTTTTTGTGAGCCTAAGTTTTTGAAACCCAGCATGTCCCAGCTCTGTGGAGCTACTCCCTTAGTTCCTGGCACACTGTGGTAATTTGGGACAGAGTAGTACTTGTGTTCCTCTGACGTCGTAGCCTACTCTGTCTGTCACGTGCATGCAAGAAAGGAAAGGTGCTTTGTCATCCTGGTTCCCTCCCAGCACATCCCTGTATGACTGAGGAATAATTTAGCTTTAGGCAAAACTGTCTTGATGGTTTTTTTTTATTTTCGGAACTTGCTGGGGTTTTTAAACTTTTTATTTGTTCATCTATTGGATTACATTATTTTTCTTCAACAGTAGGAATGTTTTTTAATTATAGAGCTAGAAGACACCTTTTTTCGTAGTTAAATGGTCACAATCCATTAAAATTCACATAGATACTTATGTTAGGCATTGTATGTGAAAGTTTTGTGGTCTGTATCTCATGTATTTAGAGGCAATGATCTGTAAAAGAGCTTAGGAATTATTTTGAATAACCATCAGTTCAAGGCAATTGGAATAGTGTCCTGGGCTTTACTATTAGTAGATACATAAAATGCAGGTAGAGATGTTATTTTGCTCTTGCACATGACGCTGGTGAAACCAGTTAATATATGAAGTTGAGTTTTTATGTCTGTGTATCAGATGATGTCTGGAAATACTAAGGAACTTGAAGGGGCATGAAAAACGACATAGATGGAAGGCATCTCACTATACAAAATTTATGATGCTTAACTAAATTTTTGGAAGAGAATTATGTATGATTGCTTAATCATTTGCTCTAGGAAGACATGTAAAGAATTACCTAACTCTCTCGGGTGTGTTACTCTGATAAATGAAGACATTACAGCACCTTCCTTTATCAGTTGATGACATGGAAATTGACTTTCAAAATTAAAGCACACAACTGCAAGTAAAACTGTAATTAATAAAGTAGTTATCTTAGGATGGTGATAATGCCTAAGCCTGTCCTCTACCATCAAATGGATCAGCTGTTTTTCAGAAAGATTTGCAGCTGTGCAGTTTCCAGGAGAGCCTTTGTATCCTATGGTAGCACTTGTTTTGATGAAACACTTGAAGTTGTTTGGTTTGTTGCTGGAATCTTGTGAAACTCTGGAAATCCACCTTTTAAGATCCTTTTCCCCAAGTCCTTGTGAAAATTGATTATCAACATCTTCATAAAAATTGCCAGTCTCTTGCACTTAGGATGTTTAGGTGACTGTATATAGACAGAGACATTAGTCTCTCCTTTGTTCCCACTGCAAGACTGGTCAAATGTGTTGTGAAGTGTTTGTATATTTACTGAATCATCTGAGATTGGCCTCATCAAGAATGAGGACAGAAAATAATGTGGAAAAATAATATGAATAGTTGCAAAATAAGTCTTATTTGGCTATGTGCTTGATAAGCTCTGCAAAAGCACTGAAGACTAAAAGGATTTGAGTGCCTAATTTTTCATGCTGTCCCCTGCCTGTCTTCCTTATTATTTGCCCTGTGACTTCAAACTGTTTGTTTTCTTCTGTACTAAAATGTTGTAAGAAACACTGTCACCAGTGGCTTAAAGGAGCTTAGGGCAGATGATCTAACTGGGCTTCCTGGCCTCCTTGTTTGAAATCTACCCATTGCTGTGCTTAGGGCTCTTATTAGAAGAAATGATCCTTCGTCTCTCTCTCTCCTTGGTTTCTTCAGAAAGTCATCTAACAATACCTTGTTTTTCTTTTAATTTAGTTACAGATAAGCACCAGTTCAAACCTGAACACATGCTGTACAGATTCCGATATGATGATGGAACATACTATCCCAGAAATGAGATGCAGGATGTGATCTCCAAGGTACAGAATAAAATAGTTGCTATTATTAGGAAGAACACATCAGAAACTGAGATTCTGCTTGAAAAGTAATGTAAGATTTTCTGGGAGAAACAGCATCCCCTCACAGTTACCACTCTATATTTATGTGAATCAAGTTCAGTTTTCCATTTGTAAGCTTTTGGTTAATTTTTACACATTTTAAATACAAAATGACAGTTTACTATTATGTAGTTATAGTTGCTATTCAGTGGTTTCCTATGCAGGATGCATTGCTCGTGTTTCTGGGTAATCCTGGAGCTGAGATTCAGTCTATTGTATTTTTTACTCCCTTCTCGTAGATATGAAGATATATGTAGGAAGCTGCTTTCAAATTTCTCTAAAATCTGAGTGTACTTTATTAGTGTCCTAACTAGGCTGTAAATCTAGAGTCACATAGATGTTTAGACATAATAGGTTATACTACCCATCTGTGTTACTGACAACAATGAAAAAATTGATCAAAGTTTCCTTTAAACTCGTTAGTATTCAAATTTGTCATGATTTGGAGTCAGTAGAAAGTGTCTGCATTTGGGTTTTACACTGCAGTGTAATTTAATTTTTGCTGCAATATAATTTGATTTTTGCTCCACTTGTTAATATAAAGTGCACCTAAAGTAATCTACCATAGTGAGCTCCCAGGCAGAGCAAAGTAGGATGGAATCTAATTTGACACAACTTTTAGTCATTATACTTGCATATTGTAAACATAATTGCTTTTTGATAGTTTCCTAAGTAATACTAATGTGTTTTTCTTTTTTAAAATACAATTTTCTGATGGTAGTTTCCTAAACTACTGCAGATGTATAATTTATTTGCTTTTAATAGAAAACATCTCTAATCTTTGAATCGTTTTGCATTTTTATAATTGATTAGTTATAATTCTAATTTGTAAGCAAAGTATTGATGCATATAATGAAATGCAGTGGTTTTCACTTTAATTACACAGTTGTGTGTAGAATAGCAACCACTGTTTGGGACAGCCTTAATACATGGAAACGTTGATTTATTTTTTGTGTGCTTTTCTTTCTAAGTATTTCAAACCTTCAGAATGCTTCCTTAAAGCTAATCTGTTTTGCATGTGTCTCAGTAAGCGTAGGTTAGATTGGAAATGTTTTTTGTTTTCATAATTTATTCATCAATATTTTTATCGGCAAACATTGTTTTGGCACATGAAAATACACAGAAATTTGAACAGATCTTTTCACTGTGTGAAGGAAATCCATTGACAGCATTCAGGCTTCCTTACTGTATCCCTGCCTCTTGTCTGTGATGTGAATGTGTGGTTAACTCACCACCTCTTTCTCTTTAACAGGGTGTACGACTGTACTGTCGCCTTCACAGTCTCTTTACCCCAGTAATTAGGTGAGTCCAGTTAGAAAATCTTGAGGGAGTCATTTGGAAGAAGTACATGATCTGAAGATACTGTGTTTGAATGTAGGAACCTAACCCATCCTTTCAAGATTGTTCTTTTGAGAGTAATCAGAAAAGATTGAAATGCTGTCAAGATAAAAAGCATAACTGAACCACTAAATGGCTGCTAACTGTTCAGTATAACTTTTTAAATGGACTTCTAGAGCCTCCTAGGTCCTGATGGATATGCTTATATGTATATATTAATGCACTCCTTTACTAATACACCATTACCTCATTTGAATAGTCCCAGAACAACTCACCTGCCTTTATACTCCCTTGACAATATCACCCAAATAAGATGTGATCAGCCTCCTCCTTTCTGTCTATAAGAAAGACTTAATTTGCTATTTTTTCCTCCTGAGAAAACTTCTCAGTCATTATTAAGTGCTCAATTCATGCTTACACTAACTTGCTTATAAACTGCAAGTATTTTTCTCTTTCTTTTGAGCTTTTGTTTGATTTTGAAAAATTGTTTTGTGTTATTTTGAACAGGGATAAGGACTATCACTTGAGAACCTACAAATCTGTGGTTATGGCTAACAAATTCATAGATTGGTTGATTGCCCAGGCAAGTAGACATCTTTGGATTTATGTATGTTTTGCATTTAAATTCTTATTTGAAAGCTAGTGATATATCAAGAACAACATACAAACACTTTGTGTAGTGTAATCCTCTTAAACCAGTAAAGTAACAGAAATCAGCTATGCTTTTCATCTCTCTTCTGCTTATCTTCCTGATCTGAAATTGAATTGAAATGTTCTGACGACACTTAGCTTTGTGATTCAGCATACAACACTGTCCATGGCTTAAAATGAAATGAAATGAGAAACTCTAAATTACTGACTAGATGAGCAAAAGTCAGTACCAATTTGCTGCCATCAATTCTGTTTCATTTTAACTGAACGAGAAAAAACCGCATGGTATCTTGTTCAATCTGTCAACGTGCACTAGTTCCATAAAATAAAAGTTTAAAACTTTGATGCTTATAGGTTCTATTATACTCAGTTTTTATGGAGAATGCAGTCTTACTGAAGTATTTTCCTATTTATTTGTAATTATAGAGTGTTATAGTATATAAAGGTCTCTTCTAACTCAAACTGCTCTCTGATTCTATGATAAACATGTATATACTGGTGTATATATATATGCTAGAAATGTATACATGAAGGTGGTGGTGGCAAATGTAATCTACAGTAATTGCCATCCCTGTGGGATTATGCCATTTTGCACAGTTTCCACTTTGCTAATATTTTAAAATACATTTTAATAATGTACTGTGTTTTAACAGGGGGATTGCCGGACAAGAGAGGAAGCTATGATATTTGGTGTAGCTCTTTGTGATAATGGGTTTATGCACCATGGTAAGTAAATACATTCTGTACAAGCTATGCTTACTTTCAGTTTAATGTTATCTGCACAGTTGGATGGAAATGCAGGGGCTAATAAAGATATTAAAGAACAGATGGAAAGTTCTTCTATTGTGTAACTAAAGAGATTGATGCTACAGTCTTCAAGAAAAAAAAATAGCTATTGTATACTCTGGAAATTATATCCAATTTTATAGCAATTGCTGAGGAATTAATCCGCTAAAGGATTTAGTGGGGGCAGTTTTATTAGTCACTTCGCAAGAAATGTCTTCAGAAAGTAATGCATGTTGGCACTGATGAGACAATAAAAAATAATGTAAGAAAGAAATGTGAGATTTTTTGGGGAATTAATAAGGTATGAAGGAGCACGACTTCAAAAAAGTGGTGACAATGGGAGAAAGTGGCTTGGACATAAATGAGAAAATCTCAAAGATAGCAAAGAACAAAGGAGGGAGAGGAGACCAGAGATATGTGCAGCACCAAAATTAAGGTGAACAAGGAGCCATTTAATACCATCAGAGGGAAGATTTCAGTGAAAGGATTGAAGTAGTAGGTCATTTACTGAAATGAAAAGAGGAAGAAATATTTTTTATCAGTTTGATTACACAAGGGGTTGAGAACATACTCTGTGGTATTGTTTATTCTTTTTCCTTTGAGTTTTGAACACACAAGCTGCATCCATTGGCTGTTCTGCTTGCTTCCACATCCCCAGCAAATCTGTTTCTAATTCTAAACCCACCATGCTTCACTATCTGGAGAATTCCAGAATTTGATGGTGAGCATCTTCAGCAGCTGTCCAGCAGAACTTTTCAAAATAATGTTTTAAATCCCTTTTAGGAAGAAACCTTTTGCTTAGTATTTTCAATAAAACTATTTCAGGCAAATACATCTTTCTCAGCTCGGTGGAATCCAGATGTTGTAGTTGAAAAAATGAGCTTAGTGATACCAATCTCTCTGAAATGAATCCAAATAACAATTGTTGTCCATGTTAAAAGATTTCCCTAGATTCACACACAGAAAAATATTTTGCTAGCATTCGATATGTGTATGCATGTTCAGTATTTAATGGTTAATGAGAGACATGATATTCAAAAGTTCAAAAGAAAATAAAGATTAATATGTCTGGGTTTCTGTCATACAGTGTTAGAGAAAAGTGAATTTAAAGATGAACCACTGCTGTTCCGGTTTTATGCGGATGAAGAAATGGAAGGATCAAATATGAAGCACAGACTCATGAAACATGATCTGAAAGTAGTGGAAAATGTCATAGCCAAGTCATTACTGGTGAGTGAAACACTATCACTGTGTGCTTTGATGAATAAACAAATTGGTCATAATGACAATATATTAGGACAATTTATTGTTACTGAATGAAGACATACTTCAGTTTTTATTAATGCCTTTCTGAACAACATTTAAAAAAATTTTGTTACAGATTAATTCTAATGAAGGAACCTATGGTTTTGGTTTAGAAGATAAAAATAAGGTGCCAATTATTAAAGTGGTGGAGAAAGGATCCAATGCTGAGGTACAGAATATTATAAATTATCTTCCCTGTTTTATTTACTTTGGTCATATATGTATGTTTTGTACATCATGTAGGAAAGTCTGTAGTAGTAGAAGGTGACAGTGAACACTTACCAAGAAAGCTGTGCTTATGAATCTTTCCCCTTTTTCCCTTCTTTTTTTTTTTGTTTGTGTGTTTTGTTGTTGTTCTTGGTTGATTTGTTTGTTTGTTTTCTTTTTAGTTTTTTCTTTTATTTAAAATACTGTTTTGACCGTTATTTTGACACTTATTTTCTGCTCAGCTAAATTGTCATATTGATTGATGATATAAAAGTTGTCATTTTATTTTTATGCATTTTATACTATTCCAGTGATGACATTAATCATAATTGAAATAAACGTTATTGGTAGAATATGAAATGGGTATACAGCTAGTCTGTGAATTGCAGTTGATATATTTCAGAGTAAAGGATATATCAAGCTTTAGACAAAATCTGGAATTTGAGACTCTGAATGAATAAATTACAGCGTTCCTGTTTGGTGGCATTGCTTTTAGATTCTCTTTGGGTTAATTAATATTCTACTGAGCAGCATGGGAGTCCCTGTATATGTAAAGTATGATGCTCTTTCATGAGAAAAAAACTTGGACTTAGATTTCAAGGCTTTCTAAATCTCATAGTAGAGTACAAATTTAAATTATAAATAGACAGAGCAAATGAATAATATAATTCAGCCACAGAGCTAAATGAGGTGATTTCTAGCAGTCAGGTTCTGCCATATTCTCAGATGGCACTAGGGCTTTGCCCATACCCTGAGCCACTCTTTGTACTCCTGTAGTTCTACTGTAATGGTGCTTTTCTTGTTAGACCAAAGTTAAAAACTCTTTGTTATGGAACTTAGCAAATATTCACTTACTAAAATATTAATTGGGTTTTCTTTGTGAAAAGAAACTTTAGTTCCTTTGGAAAATGGTGGATGAAAAATTAAGTACCGTCATAAAATAAATGGCTCGATCGAAGCTGTTGTGTTAATTGCTAAAAAATGAACTGATATTGTAATACTGTCACAAAATCTTGATTAATACTAGGTCTTGTATTTAGCTCTCTTCAGAATGAGTGCTTACCCTTCACATGAATTTAACCAGTTTTACAGCCATTTTGTGGTGTAAGTCCCCTGTGCATGGTATGTGAAGGAGTCATAAAGAATGTAAAGAAAATGTGAATGTCATTTTTTCTATTGGGGTTGCATGCCAGCAGAAGAAAACATAATGTTAGTGGTTATAAAAAGCAAACATGTACACAACTGTTGTTATTTCCTAGATGGCAGGCTTAGAAGTTGGGAAGAAAATCTTTGCCATTAACGGTGACCTGGTTTTTCTGCGACCCTTCAGTGAAGTGGATTGCTTCCTGAAAGCCTGTTTAAACAGCAGAAAGCCCCTGCGGGTTCTTGTGAGCACCAAACCTCGAGAGTAAGTTATCATTCCTTTGGGAAATTTTACAAACAACAATTGAAGTGGATTTTCAGAGCAGTGGAACTTCAGAGAGCATTGCTGTAAAGGGTTTTTCAATGGTGTATCTGATCTGACTTTACAAAGTCAAGCAATTTGATTTGCCTTGATTTTGTTTTATCCTATTTGTGAGTCAGCAAAAGAATCACATGAGTACTTTAGATCTTCAGCTCTGCCACTGTAAATGCATGCAGGTACTGAAAGTTTAAATGAAATTTCATTGACTATATGGTCGGTTTTGATCACTTATCTCTTGCTGTGTGTATTAAACAAATTCCTGTGTCTGGGGATTAGTTGCTGGTTTGTCATTGTCAGATTCTGTGGTCTCATGGGCCCCTTCAGCTTGTGTGTTGGTTGTGTAAACAGCAGGAGGAAATAAACATCATCTTAAATCTTAAGGAAATAAACATCATCTTAAACATCATAAATCCTCATCTTTATCAAACAGATGCATTTCTGTACACAGTTTTGCCCATTTCTACCTAAACACAAGTTTTGTTGTGTAAAAGAAATACAAAGGGAGGCCTAATAGGTGGGCTCAGTAAATATGCAAATGAGCATAAGTGTATTAGTAAAGTTAATGCAGTTTTTGCTAGGTTATACATAATAAAGAAGAAGACGACTAAGAAAAACTTGTCAGAAGTAAATTTTTATTCAGAATTTGCAGGATAAAGAGGTGCCATTCTCTGTTACCATACAGCATACAGTGTGCCTTACTCAGAAATGGCTCTGGTTAAGTGGCAGATGGAAGATCTATTTCTCTTCTTAGTAAGCAAAGGTGTCTTGAGAAGTAAAATGGCACCTAGAACAGGAAAAAGAGCTAAGAAAAATAAATAAGGCATAAAGATGCTTATCTGGCCCGATACTGCAACACCTGTTCCCACCCCCAAAGAAAAATAACAATTAAAAAATCCCCAGACCACAGAACTTTAGAAAACGTAACAGGCATATCTTGGCCTTTCTTTAATGCAAATCTTGGTTTAATTTCTGGCTCAACTTGTGGGTGAATTTCAAGGTTGAGAGAGATGGTCTAGCAGATGTAGAGTTCACAGAAGTCAAATTTGTTTCTCAGTGCTCCCTGCTTTTTGTCAGAAGCTGCTGCTAGCACAACTTAGTTCACAGAAGACAGTTCTCTCCTGAATTCTTAGTCTAAACTGCCAGTGATGGTCTTTCATAGTTATTTGCATGTTCTCAAAGCAGTTTCAGAATGCAATCAAATAGATGGTATCAATAGTTAATACATGAGTACATTTAAAAAGAAATCTAGACTTCAGTGAAGTTTAGATCTCACCTCTGATGCTCATCTCCAAATGTATATTATATATAATGTATATTATATACTTTATGTACACTAGAAAAAAAAAAGTGTAAGAAATGATGCATTTCTCTTATTCAAAACTGCCTGTAAATCAAGTTTGCTACAGTCCAAATGCATTTTAAAATCACTTTTCAGCATCAATTTGAATATGTTTGCTTTTGCAATGGGAAAGAAATGGAGCTGGGGCAAAGATCTCTGAAATAATAACAGAGCTGGCTCTGGATGGAAAAGCTGCAGAGTTAAATCAGTGCACTGTTATGCATGACCTAACTAGCTCTGATAAGGGCTAATGCAGCTGTGTTGCTTTTTGTAGACCCTGAGCTGGTATCACGAGGATATGCTAGCTTACTTTGGGTGAGTTCAGGGCTTAATTTGAAGGAGTAGATGTGAATTTTGATTGTCGTGTTTCTGTTGGTTAGGTTTGTTAGTAAGCTTATTGCTCTTGTTCTTAGACCAAGCAGGAGTGCAGCACAATGTTCTTGCAAGCCATACCAACAGCAGTGGATCATTCTTACTTTACAAAACTCAGTAGGTACTTTCTGTAGCTGCTCAGAAAAACTGCAATGAAACATTATTTCAAGAAAACTCAGCAAGGAGAGGCACAGGCTGCTGGGAGTGCCTGATGCCTCTTTGCGAGGCTGAGGACTGCAAAGAGTTATTGTGCAGAAAGCATGCTGTGTTTGAGGAGCTGTGCTGCAGGTGGAGCTACAGGAAGAAGTCAGCTGGCTGTGCAGTGTGTGAGTGAACAAGCAAAAGAGAGATCAATTATTTTCAGCAATGCTACAGTCTCAGGCTCCCAGGAGCCTTGAACCCCCATTGTGGTGAAGAACAGAAGGACTCAGAGCCCTGCAGGGTAATTAGCCAAAGGACTCTTAGCTGGGGTCTGATAAAGATGAAGGCTGGAGGCACATCACAGCAGGTACCAGCAAGAAGGTTCCTCTTCCTCTGAATTTGACAAGTAGGACTGGTACCTTTTACAAGAGGTCTGGGGCTCTGGACCTAGAAGGCCAAACAACTGATCAGGTGGGGCAAGATCCTTCTGGGATGGTGGGGCCTCCTGAAATGACACCATCTGCACCCTGCCTCAAGACCTCCTCTGCTAACAGGAAAAGGGCAGTTGTGATAGGAGACTCCCTTCCAAGGGGAGGAGAGGGGCTGACCCAACTCACAGGGAAGTCTGCTGTCTGCCAGGGGCTTGGATAAGGGATATTACTGGAAAAAAATCCAGCCTAGTAAGGCCCTCTGGTTACTCTCTGCTAATATTGTTCAAACTGGCAGTGATGAAATAAAACAGGGAAGTGCGAAGGCTATCAAAAAAGACTACAGTGCCCTGAGACTATTGGTAGAGGGATCAGGAGCATGGTAGTTGATTTTGTTGATTTTTCCCGTAACAAGGAATAATATCAATAGGATTAGGCAGATCCATTAGGTCAATACATGGCTCCAAAGTTGGTGCCAGCAGAAAAATTTTGGGTTTGTTTGACCACAGGATGATCTAGTCAGCACCTTGTCTACTAACACCTGACCGGAGTCATTATTTCAGAGTGAAAATGTGTTTGCAATTGTTGGTCACTATTTAAACATCACCTCCTAAGGGCACAGGAGCGGGCAGTTCCCAAACTGAGAAGTCAAGCAGGTGAGGCAGAAGGCCAGATTGGTTGAACAGGAATATTCTCTGGAAATAAAGCTAAAAAGGAAAATGTATGCCCAATGGATGCAAGGCCATGTGACATGGAAAGAGTGCAGAGATGCTGCCCACTACTGCTGGGAGAGAATTCATGTGGCCAAAAGTCAACTGAAGATGAAGCTGGCCAGAAATGTGGGGACAATAAAGAGTTTTTTCAAGTATATTCATGGCAATAGGTGATGTAAAAATAACATTGACCTGTTACAGGATGGTCACCTCACAGAAGGGGACAGGGACAATGCAGAGGTGTTTAATTTATTCTTCACCTCCATCTTTGACATGGGTGGTGGTCCAAAGGGGGTCTCAGTGCCCTGAGCTGGAGGACTATGACTGTGAGAATGATCAACTCCAAGCCAGCCCTGAAATTGTGTGAGATCTGGTGCTTCAGTTGGAACTCTATAAATCTGTGGGGACTGATGAGGGTTCTCCAAGAATCCTCAAAGGGCTAGCTAATGTCATTGTAAAGCCTCTCTTGATGTTTTTGAGTTGTCTTGGGAATCTGAAGAGGTCCCAGCTTACTGGAAGCTGGCAGACATCCCTATTTTCAAGAAGGGCAAGAAAGAGGACCTGAGAAATTACAGGCCTGTCAGTTTCACTGCTGCGTCTGGTAAAGTTAGAGAGAAGATTATTCTGGGAGGTATTGAAAAACACCTGAGAGACAGCACAGGCATTGGTCACAGCCAGCATGGCTTCATGAGAGGAAAGTCCTGCTTATCAAACAAAATTGCCTTTTATGACAGGATACCTCACTGCAGTCTGCAATTTCCTTGGGAGTGGAAAAGGAGGGGTAGACACTGATCTTTTCTCTCTGGTGACCAGTGACAGGACCCGAGGGAAAGGCCTGTAATTCTGTCAGGGGAGTTTAGGTTGCATATTATAAAAATGTTCTTCAGCCAGAGGGTGGCTGGGCACTCGATCAGCTCCCCAGGAAAGTGGTCACAGCCCCAGCCTGACAGAGTTCAAGAGTTTGGACAGTACTCTCGGGCACATAGTGTGACTCCTGGGGTATCTGTGCAAGGCCAGGAGTTGGACTTTAATGGTGCTTGTGGGTCCCTTCCAACTCAGCACATTCTGTGATTCTGTTAAAATGCAGTATGGATCGGATCTGAGTTCTGCAGTTTTCTGCAGCTTCTCTGATCAGATCTGCTGAGATCTCTAGTCCTCAGGCTCTGTCCTCTTGGCTGGGAGAGACTGCCCTTCCCAGGGCTTTCAGTGTTGCTGTGCTACGGCAGCTTACCTAAAGATCAGTCTGTTTGGGAGGAAGTTTAAAGCTATGGTGGTGTTTTGATTTTAATCATCATATTGAATTTCCCTATAAAATAGATTGTTTGTGCTGTCTCAGCTTTCTCTTATTTCTGATGTTGGTGGTGCACAGTATTTGGAATATGAATACTGCAAAATCTGAAAACTGATTTGAATAAAAGTGTGGAGTTTTACAGCCTTGTAACCTACATGCTGCTGAATAACAAAATGCTACCTTTTGCTACATTCATATTAAATCTTTGTGTCAGGACAGTGAAGATTCCTGACTCTGCAGATGGACTTGGATTCCAAATCCGGGGTTTTGGCCCATCTGTTGTCCATGCTGTTGGGAGAGGTAAGCCATAGGAGCTGTCAATGGTACTGGTAAATATATGTTTAATATCTAAATTGCTTGGTTGAGTCAAAATTCAGTCCAGTAATCCATCTTAGGTTTTTATTTTTCCCAAAGTAACAAATAATATTAAATAAACTCAATTATAATTGTTTTGTGTACTTATACTCTGTAAGCTTGGATACATCTTCCAACTATTTTTTTTAAGTGTAGTTACACCAATGTAGGAAAGTTAAGTTAAAGCTGTGCATTCTTTACAGAATAAGGAGAAGATGAAGGATGCAATACAATTTTATGTTGGGAATCTGTGTGTTAATTTGTTAGGTGGCTGTGTGGTTCTGCAATGTTCTGAAAACATTTTACAAAGAAACGTGCTTTTTACAAATCTTTTCAAGAGTTAGTGGCTTTGTCTTAGTAATTGCAGATGGTTCACATAAATACTCTTTTGGGATGTGATTTTCAGATGCTTGCTATCCTACCTCAATGTTTTTGAGCAGTGCACTTGTACTAAAAGAAGTTGAAGCATTATTTCTTGCTGCCTCATGTTGCTTATGGCAGAGCAAACTAACTGTATTTTCAGTTATTGTGGGACAGTTGTGTCTCGTTCCCCCCCTCTGCTTTTGTAACTGAGGCATGAAAAGTGAACTGATCTGCAAAAGCCAGATTTGAACAAAGTTTGATGATATTTTTTCTAGGCTGTGGTGCCAGAAATTAGATTTTCAAAAGAAAGACTAATAAACTACAGACTTAGTATCTGATGTGTTAATTATTTCTGCACCTGGATCTCAATTCAACTGCCTATCGTTATTCATTAGGCACATACTTTATTCTGATTAGCCTCAACAATATGCAAGTGCTTGCTTGTGTGATTTGCTAAACCTGGAAGATTTTAAGCATGTGCTTAAATACTTTGCTGAATTGGGACTTGGGGTTTTCTGAAGAGTGATTTGTTGTTGTTTTTTGGGGGTTTGGGTTTTGGTTTTTTTTGTTTTTTTTTTTTTTTACATAGATATTAAATAAGATCTATTTATATGTTTATTTTTAAGTCTTTTTGGGGGGAAGGGAGATTGTGATAGCTGGTAATAATAGTGTAATTTACAATGACTTTTTTAATATTAGATTTTAAACGCAGCTTTAATCTAATAGTGATAATTCCTAAAATGAGGGAAGCTCATGTATATTCTGCAAGTTATTTCCTTGTCAGATATGCTCAACTGGCAAGTCATGAAGTCATGACAAGCTTTCTATTTGTCAGCCCTGCAAATTCAGTCTAGCCTATTCTTTCACAGCCCCTAGCTTCTGCAACCCAGTCTGGCAGTCTCTAGGCAGTAGATTTTTACTTCCTTGGCACCTCTGTGCCAGTATGAAGACACATTTGGAGGCGAATGTTCAGGTAGCTGGAACTAAGGTCATACTCCAGCAGGCTGTTTTTCAGGAGTGAGTTTGAATCACACTGAAAAGACCTGGAGACAGCTGCTCTTTTTTAGTGCCTATTCAGTCACTAGATTTTCCCAACGCGGTTATTCAGTTGTGAAAATAAGTCACTGAACCAAATATTTTATGTAGCTTAAAGAGAATGTTTTGTTTTGGTGTCATGTTGTGTGTGTCCACCTGTCCCACCCTCTGATAATTTAATTTGAGATACTCTACTTAATTATCTTTGAGATTTTGATTTAAAGCTCTAAGGCCCTCTGCTGTAATTGTGTTGGTAGGGAAGCTGAAAAAAGAACATCATCTTTGGAAATGTCTTTGCAATTTAGATATTTCACTTAATGATTAACATGGTACTCTAGTATGCTCTTGTACTTTATGTATTGCCAGAAAACTTCTGTTTTGTATGTAAAATTGAAACACCTGAATTAAACAAGAGGCTCATAAGCTTGGGTCATATAAAAGTAGGTTAGGTTGTAACTAGTGACTTTCAAGCTAGAGCCATTTTACCCTTTTAAAGTCCTTTTTTTTTTTGAGGTGAATTTTTCACATTTTCATATTGCTAGTCAATGTTTGTAGCTTTGTAAAGCATCCTTTAGGAAACTGTCTGGTCTCTTTTATGGAAACATCTGCTGGCAAACTCCATTTTCTTGGCATCCAGCTGGTCTACAGAAGTACTTTGTGGTCAAGGGAAGTATGTAAGGATCAGTCAGATCAGGTTCTGATTTTTAAAAAAAAGATGTTTTTTGGACTCTGAAGTTGAAAGGAGATGTTTAGAAAAAGAAGTTTGCTAACTGTGTGGGTTTTTATGAATAGGAACAGTGGCAGCTGCAGCAGGTCTCCACCCTGGCCAGTGCATAATCAAAGTGAATGGAATTAATGTCAGCAAAGAGACTCATGCAAGTGTTATTGCTCATGTCACAGCCTGCAGGAAGTACAGGCGGCCAATGCAGGTATGTCTCATTTGGTGCCCTTGCACATTTTCTTCTAGATTTCTATTTTGGGTCAAAGTAAACAGTGTGGTCTTAATCTCTATGCACAAGTCTACTGTGTTTGAGTGGGGTGAGAGGAAAGAAGTGGTGAATAAAACTGAAGGAAAGCCAACTGAAGTGTAAAAGCTGAAGATTGCTCAATGGTGATGTTCAAAATCTGCTTAGTTTCTGCACTGAAATAAATATCATAGATAATTTTTAAATGGTGTTTTAAAAGGGCTATTTAAAGCATTTCTGCAGTCCTATGCAGAAAAAAATTTGAGGTATATTGTCATTTTGATGGAGAGGGAATCACACACCTTTCTGCCTGCTCAGCAGCAGGAGAATGAAATACATAAAACTGATCTTCTTCCAGAATTTTGTTACACTTCAGTACACAGAGAGCAGAGTGCATATATTCCATCCATAAAAGAGTTGCCATTGCATTCCAGTCTTGAGAATAAGTATATATTAAAGGACTCAAAATTTCCTGTTTTTAAATGCATGCAAATTTTATTATCTTTGCTGTGTTACTTAAGGAGAAAATCTCAGGCTTCCAAGACACAAGTTTAGAAAGAAAACCAAACCAAGCTGGATTCTATAATGTAATTTTCCAATTCTCTGCAAGTTTTTCATAAATTGTGAACCAATATTATTAATTAACTTCACAAACTCTTCAAGTATGTGTTTACTGAGGAGAAAAATCTAATTAAAACCAAGTGTTGAATCCTTCTTGCATACCTACTGCAGAGTTATAAGAATTATATAGTTATAACTGGGTCACATAAATACAATTTTTATGAAAATGTTCTTGGGATGTTTGTGTTTAAATGATAATACAGAACTAAAATTTTTACATGGCATTTTGAGGTCAAACTCACCTATTCTTTAAAGGAAGATGCACTCTATTAAAGAGAAAATGTCCTGTTCACTAGTAGCAAAACTGGCTAGAATAAAAGATAAATTAAATTCATTATAGCAGTTTTGTTCTCTCTGTGTATAACTGTAGACTTCCTATGGATATTAGTGACATCCAAAGACGGTTGATTAGTGTTGGCTGCTGTGAATGCCTTGACATAAAAAAATTACTTTGGGTTTTTTAATCAACTTGTATAATAACTTGAAATTTTTTCCTATACATAGTATTTATTTTAGTTTTAAAAAGTAGCTGATCATAATTCAGCAAATCACAGATAACTGAAGTTCCCTAGACAGGCAAGAAGAACTTCATGTAGGATGCAGTATTATCAAAAACTGTGGGAGAATTGTCTAGACTGAAGTAAATGGTAGTATTCCCACTGGTGAAAAGACAGCTAAAATTTAATTTCCTATTCAAAAATTTGGTGGGGTATTTTATTATTATTTGGAAAATTACTATGGATTTCTCCTATTTTGTAAGTACAGTGCACACAGCCTATCACTTAATTACCCAGAATATTTCAGTCTCTCCTCTGGTTCCCAATTGCATAATTGAAAGGGAATCTTTTTTTTTTGTTTCTTACATCTTTTACTTCTCAGGGTAAAAAGTCTTCCTAGTCTCCAATTCCAAGCATGAAGCTTCCTTTCAGATTCCTTTGGTCAATAACTGCACGATTCCTGTTGGGCAATGTTTATCTTCCTTCTGTCTTGTCCGAATAAAGAAAATTGAGACCAGATTTTACTTTTTGGAATTACAATTTCTTTGCAGTGATACTAATCATGTTGTGGCAGACTTATGCTTAGTTGGTTCTCCTGTAATGATTTTGAAGGACATTGCTTCAAGTCATATTGCATTAGATTGGTTGTTAACTTTTGGAAAAGAGACTTCCAGGTTAAGTAGTGAGTATTTCCTATTAGAGACTGGCATGGCAATATATAATAATAACAACATAAAATATAATAATAAAAGTCTTCCTGGTCTCCAATTCCAAGCATGAAGCTTCCTTTCAGATTCCTTTGGTCAATAACTGCACGATTCCTGTTGGGCAATGTTTATCTTCCTTCTGTCTTGTCCGAATAAAGAAAATTGAGACCAGATTTTACTTTTTGGAATTACAATTTCTTTGCAGTGATACTAATCATGTTGTGGCAGACTTATGCTTAGTTGGTTCTCCTGTAATGATTTTGAAGGACATTGCTTCAAGTCATATTGCATTAGATTGGTTGTTAACTTTTGGAAAAGAGACTTCCAGGTTAAGTAGTGAGTATTTCCTATTAGAGACTGGCATGGCAATATATAATAATAACATAAAATATAATATAATAATAAAAACATTTATTACTACACTAGTAAAATATTTGTAGTCAAGGCAAATAGCAGTAATGAAGGCTGTAGTATAGGTTCTTTGTGCCAGTGACACATGGTGATGGATTAGCTGGACATTCTCTGTCTTTGGTTGATAATCCATAACTTTTGCTACCAGGTTTGTGGATGCACAGCAGATTTAGCAAAGCAAAAATTGTTTTTTCACCATGATTTCTTGGAGAAAAATATTTTTCAATCTGCAATTTGATTTGAACTATCTTAAATTATTTTTGGCAGAGACATAAAAATTATGGATGTCATGCTGTCACAGACTTCATACTGTCTCATGACAATATATGCTGTAATAAAAAATAACTTGCCAAAATTCTCTGGATTTTTTTTTTAACTTATGCCTTAAAAATAGTGAAATAGTTGCTATCAGTTGCACTTGCAAAGCTTTTTCTACCTGTGTATTTTTTGTTGTTTTTCTAGCAAGATTCTATACAGTGGGTTTACAACAGCATTGAAAGTGCACAGGAAGATCTTCAGAAAGCAAACACCAAACCCTCTGGAGATGATGGAGGTGATGCCTTTGACTGTAAAGTGGAAGGTATGTGATGCTTGCTTGGTCTTGTTGCTGAGAATGCTGTTATAATACAAGGAAAATTTAGACAGTGGGTTTGTTTGCGGAGAGGAAATTTTGAGCAGATCCTAAGATGTGATTAATATAAGGATTTGTTTTCTTATGTATTCTAAACATATAAATTTAACATGGTATTCCTTAAAAGCTACTATCTTACCCATTTAAAGAAAATACTTCCATTAACACTTTGGGGAAAATCTCTTTATTTTCATTTGTAAGAAACATAAACCTAGGCATTAGCTGATTTATTTTCACCACTAGAAATCATTTATGGCAAACTAGATACATTAGTCATTACTGCATGGGAAATAAAAAAAACTACTATCCTTCAGATTATTTTCAGGCAATTAACATTTTGATAAAACTGCATTCATCTGCAACTTGTAATTAAAGAGACAGTTAATATGTGAACTGTGCATTCATAAATGCAGTTATTGAAGTTTAATTTCTGAATGTTGACAGTTTTCATAGCGATATTCTTCTACTTTATTTAGAAATTCGCAGTTTTCCCTTTTTTGGGTCCTTCTTAATGTCTCTGGATTATAAATGGAATGGAATTACTCCCTTAAATAACAGTTTGTAAAGAAAGAGTAATGCCTGTTTTGCAGTCCAGTATTTTAACATCTACAAATCTACTGGTGTTCTGATTTTTATATTTTTCAGCCAGGTTTTTAAATAAATGTTTTTAAATAGAATGGTCAGAACATACCCCTTTCTAGAATGTTTGCCTGTGTCCTTTGTAGTTCTTTTAATGGCCAGGACTTGTAAACTGATTTGTGTTACTTTACTTATTCTAGAGGTAATTGACAAATTTAACACTATGGCAATAATTGATGGGAAGAAAGATCATGTGAGTCTGACTGTTGACAATGTTCATCTGGAGTATGGAGTGGTTTATGAGTATGACAGCACAGCTGGAATAAAGTGCCATGTCTTAGAAAAAATGATTGAACCAAAGGGATTTTTCAGTTTGACTGCAAAGGTATGAAGCATTTTTTGTATGTTAATGATTGTTGTGGAGAAAGTGGAGAAACTTGTGGGTTTTTTTACTCTTATGATTGTATGTCTTTCATTTGATACCTTATAATTGGTCACCTTTACCTCTTTGATGTTTTGGAGAATAATTGCGTGCTCAGGAGGCAAAAAGAGTTATGTTGTTACTATAAATTGAGCGTTTAAATCTAAAAAAAGGTTAAAAGATCTTCAAAGTCTTCCATTCCTCCTGCCCCTCTCCCTTGTTTCTTAATTATCAAATAAAACATGAAAGAAAGACCAAGATCTACTGAAATATCTATAAAGGCTATATACTACCCTCATCTCTTCAACATGCCTTTTAATTAGTTTTCTCTCACCATTATAACAAGGCTTCAGTCTTTGCTGGGCAGTACTGCTTATACTGTGCCCTATTTCCTAGCCTTTTTATGCAGAATATGCAAGAGGATAGCACTCAGTTTTCTTTTGTGCTTTTTCAATGTGTTAGTATTCTGCCGAACTGAAGGTTTTCTAGAAGTAATGAATGAATTAATTCAGCAGCTCTGCATAATATGTGCTGATCAAGTAAATACAGCAGATAATGTATTTCAGAGGAGCCATAGTGGTTACATTAGTAGGAAATTAGTAGTAAATCCATTATCAAACAATGTCATGAGAAGCCAAGCAAAAATACTTATGGGTATAATTTAGCAGGGAATAGATTTAAGAAAACCTCTTTGCGTCCCAAGCTTCATTAATTGTTGTTGTGCACCATTTTCTGTAGTGTTATCAGGCCTTTCAGCTTTAGTTATAAGAGATGATCAGTAAGGGGAAATTTTAGTCAACTTAATTTCATAATATACTTTTCTTGTTTTTATTATCTTAGATTCTTGAAGCACTGGCAAAAAGCGATGAACATTTTGTGCAGAATTGCAACAGCCTCAATTCCTTAAATGACGTGATCCCCACTGAACTTCAAAGTAAATTCAGTGTCATTTGCAGTGAGAAAATTGAGCATATCTACAGAAGAATCTCTAGCTATAAAAAGGTATGACCTGCATGTTCTAAACTTGATTATATTTGTCTTTTAAGGATAAAACAGGGGAATGTGGTACAGTTTGCATAGCTCTTCAGAGTCTCTATGGCAGTGACAAAATGTGGCTGAAAGTTTAGCTATTTTGAAGCATGAATGCCTTAATGGAGTAATTGCATCAATTGTTTTCAAGCCATTCTCTTTCTTATCCCTTTTTAGAATTTGGGTAGTTTGTATTCTTTCTTGTTTGCTGTGTTCTGTCGTAGAGACAATCAACTGCATATTTCCGCAAAGGGGCCGTCATTCTTGTAAATGTCTTGAACCAATACTCTAGTGAATTTGCAGATGTTAACCAAAAATGTAGCAATAACAACAGAATTACTTTTTTTTTTCTTTCCAGTGCAAGTCAAATACCAAATTTTAACCCTTTTATTCAACTTTTAGACCCTAGCATCTGTTAATAGTAGCATCTCTGTAATTTATTAGCTTTGCTTGGTTTAATAAAACATAATAGCATGGAAAAGTGGAGAAGGCACTGACTTTCATATGCTTGAGATCTTAATTAATGATACATACGTAAATGAATAAATAGCCCAGACTATGACCTCTAGTTGCTGTTGGTGCATTTCTCTATAGTTGTTTAACCAAGCAGGGCATAAATTAATTAACCATGTGCCATTTTGTTAATGCAAACTCATTTTCTCATCCAGACCCCTAGTTCCTCTCTCATGGAACCTAATTGTGGGGAGGTGAATTACTTTGAAGAAGGCTCAAAATGTCTGCAAAAACATGGGTCTGCCCTGTCTTACCTCATTTGGGGATCTGAGTTGTGACGTTTAGAAACTGGTCTGTTCTGAGAGTTTATACATAAAAATTTGAAAAGAGAAAAAAAAAAAGCAAAGGAAAAAGAAAGTGAATACAGAAGCTTCACATATTTGCAGAAGCTGCATTTAAAAGACTGGATAATGATTTTTCAGTTTCAAAGGAAAGCAGGGAGAACTGTTAGGAGTATCTGTAGCTTAGTAGGCAGTAGGACAAAGGCCAAAAAGCAGCTTGTCAGACTTCTCCAGGTGCTCTCTAAAATGAAATGGAATAAACTGAGTTGTGCAAATGGAGACATCAAAAGAATCCCGATCTTGCTGTAGCAAAAATCTGACCTCTCTAGTGTTTGCCTGAGTTAAAAACCTCCACATTTCCAATTTGGTTAAAATTAAAGATATCATTTAAAAAAACCACCAAAACTAATTAGTTTTTATATTAACTGTTACAGTTCAAGTAACATGCAGGTGATTTATATGTTTTCTGTAGCTGAAAAATTTGACTGTGATATATAGCCTCTATAGAGGAGGCCAAGACAGTAAATCAAATTTTGTTGTGCTTGCTGGATGTGAAACAAACAGCCTCTGGGAAGTTTTCATAGTTTTTACACTGTCTAGAAGCAGATATTCCTGATACAGATGTACTTTAAATCTCATCTGCTCAAAAATCAGTAGTTTCACAGTTATAGCTTTTAATGACAATTAGTAATGCAGTGGATTTCAGGAATAGATGTGTCATTTTCTTGGCAAGGTAAAGGTAACCATAGTTACAGGAGACTTTCGGAGTGCCTGAGCCCAGCTTGGCTGCTGGTTTTACTGTGAAAGTTCGAATTCTATAAATAAAAATCTTGTGGATTTCTGCAGTTCCTACTATTATTATTATCAGAACATTTTGCTCCTAATAGACCTCGATTCCAGTGCCATGAGTCCCAGATGTTTCTCAACACATATATGAAAAGAATTTTGGTCCTGACTTATGACCTGATTAAATCATAGCCAGTGTTTGGTCTCTCTGGAGCAGGATGTGTGGGAGATTGAGATGTGAAATATGTACTGCTTGCAGAAACATTTTCATCATTGAATGTCCTTAGTAGCCTTCTTAACAATTTGTGCATTCTTCAGCCTTTGAACAACTCCATAATTGGATTTCTTGTAACCCTCCAGATCTTGTTGTGATCTAAAGATTTAAATGTAATTATCCCAACAAGTGTTCGTCAGGCTGAAGTGATATGACACCAAAATAAACAGAAATTCAAGTCTGAGTACAGAAACATCTTACTTTGCAGAAGGGATATGTCTTAATTCAACTGAAGCATTAGTAAAAGTTGACCGATTTGAATTTTTTCTGACATTTATTAGTGAAGAAACTTTGCAAGTTAACTTTGAAAATATGCGTGAGCTGGGGTTCATAGCTGAAGTAGGTCTGTGTGCTTTGACTGGAGAGATATTGTGATTAAAACACTGATTACATCTTTCCAGAAAAAAATCTTTCCTGACAACAAACTGCACTGAAAATGACACATATTGACAAAAATCCTACTTGTGACTGACAAATAAATCTCTGTTCCAACTGAAGAGCTTGATCAGATGACTTGATTCTGATGTAGATACAGTTGTTGAGTGTCCAGTTCCCTTCTCACCATCTTGGGTTGGCATCTTCTCATCTTAAAAGCCAAGTAACTCTAAGCCTATTCAAGACAATGCACAACATTTAGGATGTTAGAGTCAAGGAGATGTGGCTAAGCACTATGTTAGAATTAGACCATAAAAAACATTCCTCATTGCTGAGCTGATATATAGGGGGAGAAGAGGTGCTGGGCTAGGAACGTCTGCAAAATGGGGTTTTTGCAGTTTTATGTACTAGTGCTCGTCTGCTTCCTAATGTCACTCAAAATGGAGGAATGGTTGAGGTTGGAATGGACCTCTGCAGGTGTGGTCCAGCCAACCCTGCTTAAGCAGGGCCACCTAGAGATGATTGCCCAGGACCATCTTTGAGGAGGGAGATCTGACCTCTCTTCCCTGAACCTCTCTGAGCTACTTGTGCCAGTGCTCAATCACCCTCACAGTGCAAAAGTGTTTCCTGACATTCAGAGGAAACTCCTGTGTTTACATTTGAGCCCAATGCCCCTGGTACTGGCCCTGGAAAGAGCCTGGCTTTGTCCTCTTTGCCCCATTCCTTCAGGCATTCATATACATTGATGTGTTTTCCCCTGAGCTTTCTCTTCTCCAGGTTGAAGGGTCCCAGCTCTCTCAGCCTTTCCTCACAGGAGAGCTGCTCCAGTCCCTGAATCATCTCAGAGGGCTCAGCTCCACTGGGCTCTCTCCAGTATGCCCATGTCTGTTTCTGTGAAGCCCAGATGTGGACTCAGGACTCGAGGGGAGGCCCCACTGGTGCTGAGGAGAAGAACAGGATCACCTCCCTCCAACCCTTGACAATGCTTCTCCTAATGCAGGAGGATAAGATATAATTAAAGAGGACTTCCTCCTTCCGGATCAGGAAATCATGAATTCATACTTTCTGATTTTGCCTTCATTATAGCTTCAGACAAAAAATTTCATGGATTTTTTTTCATTTTCATTTTTGGAAAATACTGGCTTGAAAACATCTGCAGATGTTTATAAATGTTATGAGCAGTACAGCAGTTTCAGACTTGCTCCCCAGAAAGACAATTAATTTTTGTTATGTTCTATGGGAAATAAATTCTATCTCTCTTTTATAAAGCTGTTTATATGTCTTAAAACAAAATTTGCTTCAAAAAACAACCCCTTAAAAATGTAAAATAAAAATTATTTTTCTTTCCCTTTTAGAGGAAGATGGAAATTATGGAGTCAAGACACTTTAAGTCAAGAATGACTGAAATATTTTAAGCTTTTATTTTCTAGTTAGGTACACAAGAGTTGTTAGCTACGTGCAAACAAGAGAAGAGCTGATAATCTAAATTTGGTTTTCTTTCTTACTTCTAGTTTTCAAGAGTATTAAAAAACAGAGCTTGGCCTACCTTCAAACAAGCTAAGTCAAAGATTTCACCACTTCACAGCAGTGATTTCTGTCCAACCAATTGCCATATCAATGTGATGGAAGTGTCTTACCCTAAGACCTCCACTTCCCTTGGTAGTGCCTTTGGTGTACAGTTAGACAGCAGAAAACATTCTTCCCATGAGAAGGAGAATAAGAACACTGATCAAGGTAAGTTAACTGAGCTTGAAAGAGCTACTTCCAGTGCTTCTGATATAGAGTCTTAAAAGGTAATCACTTTAGGTTTATAGCCCAGATATTAAAATTGAGGACAAGCCTTTCTGAAATCACCCTTCTTTTGATTTTAGTTTTATTTTACAGCATGATAATGAGTAGTCAATTTCACAATTTTATTTTTTCCTAAATAGCTTGACTTTGAAATGCAAATAAAATACAAAATTAAATAAGTACATGAATTTTAAACAGAAAAATATTTCAGTGTCTGTTAGGTATTTTACTAACTTCAAAATGTATGTTGAAAAAAGATAATGATGAAATTGCTTTGAATTTTTCCCAGGTAAACTGAATCCCATGATTTATGTGCAACATACCATTACTACTATGGCTGCCCCTTCAGGACAGTCTCTTGGCCAGCAAGAGGGCCATGGTCTGAGGTACCTCTTAAAAGAAGAAGACTTAGAAACGCAAGATGTCTATCAAAAATTGCTGTTCAAATTACAAGCTGCACTGAAAGAGGTGGAAACATGTGTCTGCCAAATAGATGAGTAAGTAAATGTTACCATTTGGACTTGCCTTTGATTTTTGCATAGAAGATAATGATAAATCTGGGCAATGCTTCTGTGTAGCACAGGATTCAATGCTGACTTCTGACAGAATCAAAGTAAAGTAAGAAATTTAAGTGCAGGTAAATGTTGTATTTTGATCTTTTTCACAGCATACCTGACTTTTTTCCCCACAGTTTGTAGGTTTTTTCCAGTTGTAGATTTTCTTTATAATGTGGCAAAGTGAGTTAATTTGAAGTGAGGAAAATATGAGGCATACAATGTCAGCTACAATTTCACTAAGAATGGAAACAAAGGGGTATAAAAATGGCCTTTATTGAACTCTTCAGGTATTGCTGAATAGTCCCACAGGTGAATTTTTGGTAAGACATTACTCACCTACAGGGAGAACATTAATTTGTTAGAAATTTTTCAAAACCAAATTGACCTTAAGGAAGAGCTGTGGATTTAGGGGGAGCCTAATCACCCTTGAGTGATTAGGACATTTGGCTTGAATGTGGGAGACTCAGAGTCTCATCACAGTTAGTCCTAATTCAGGACAAGGATTTATAACTTGCTTTTTCTTTAGCAAAATAAGAGAGTTGACTCCTGGGCTATTTACTTGGGATAAGGATGAAGAAGTATAAGAAATATTTGTTTTGAAAGATTCCATATGTAATGCAAATGTGGGAAATTAATTTTGAAAACAAAACCAGCAAAATATTTTGAGCTTAAAATACAATCTGTCATGATCTCCAGTTTACATAAGTGGTGTATCATTGTTTCTGATGTTATCTTGAAGACTGTGGTGTGATTTGTCCTTTCATGTGGGACTGAAGGTGGGATTTCTTTTTTTTTTACTGTTTTCATAATATTCTCCTTGTAATAGTTATGGAAGTAATTGTAATTATTATAAGTAACTGTAACGTATCACATACTGCAATCGGAATGAAAGCAAGAGTTGACTCAGTATTTTTAAGAAAATGTTGTTTCCTGTGCCTTTACGTAGTTCTGCTAATTGTCATGCTGAAGATGAAGTAAATTAAATAAATTAATGATATTTTCAGTGCTTGGCTGCACTTCGAAATGACTATCTGTAAAGCCTATGTTGTCTCTCTTCCTCATGGAAGTCAAAATATTATATATGGAATTTTAGTCAATACTTCAGGAAGTTCACTTGCCAGTATGCCACACCTTTCCTTTCCACTCCCTTGAGCTTGTGATGCAAAAGCACAGGAAATTCTGAGCCTTTCTTTTGTATAAATGTATATATAAATACACACACAGAAAAATTGTGTACTAACACAAAGGTTCACTTTTTTAATTCCTGAATTTTCTGTACAGTGACCTTGTAGCTGATCTTGTATAAGGTAGGAAGATGTATTTAGCAAATTTTACCTTTGCCTGATAGGAAGACTGGGACTTTGACTTTTCATGCTTTATTCCTCATGGACATTGAGTGGGCTGCCAGTGAGTAATTACTGTAGAGGAAAGCAGTTCTAAAAAGGAAACAGGATAGCTAAGAGACCTACTTAAAAGTGCTGAACAGGGAAGAGTGAGCAGTCCTGAGGTACATGGTATATTAGAACATAGTTACAGATGCTAATTAACTCTTGAGATTTAGGACTGAAGAAACAAAAGATAGGGTGACACAATAGATAATCCAACAGCCATGCTTTAATTAGAAATTTTCATACTTAAATAGCTGGGAGGAAATGCTTGATTTTGTGCTTTTTATAAAGACAATAGAATTTATTTTTTCTGTTGTGTCATAGTAACAATAAAATTGATGTCTTTTTAATTGAGTTTATTATTATCCTAAACAATCCTCATTATTTTAATATTCTCAGGATGAATGATATGAACATGGTATCTATCACCATTTTTGATTTATATTGATATTGTGTGACAGAAAAATTGGACTACTGAATGACTGTCTGGTACTCTTTATACTTACTGATGGAAAACTTGCTCATGCATGTTACTAGAGGTCTCTGCTCTAGTAACTGTGTTGAGGTCTGTACTGGTCTGTGTTTCAGCTCACAAAATCTTGGGGCAGTGTTGTCTGCTCAACCTCTGCTGTCTGTTAGTGAATTGAAAAATGAGTGCTTCATCTGAAGAGCAGGTCTTTGAGAGCCTGTGGCTTATGGCAAGGGAACATTTAAGAGGAGATTTTGTACTCCTAATTATTGTCTGCACAGGAGTTTATGAGATGGTTTGCTGAAGAGTTTTAGTTGCATAAGTGATGTAGTACTGACAGAGAGTGAGAGAAATACACACAGAATATGTATCCCCTTTCCACAGCCTCTCCAGGCTCCACTGTGCTCACATTCAAATAGTTTAATGGTTTCCCAATACTTCTTTAGTGATGCTTCAGATACCCCATGTTGCTGCTAGGTGTTACACAGAAATAAGTCAGTTTTCGAATTGTTTTCTGTATAGTGACTCTGCTGGGTTCTTGGTTCTCATGCACTCAGTGCTCTCCCACCATCCCAACTCTTTTTTGGAAAGATGTCTTTCAGGAGCATACAAGAGGTTTGAACATTTTTCAAGCCTCTGTGGAGTGAGGAAAAGGCAGAGAGGGTTTTTTGTTACTGCCATTTTTAATTCTTTGACTAACCATAGCAGGTTTTGTTTGTCAGGGTTATGTTGACTTGGGGTGCACATAGGACTAATTTCCACTGATGAGGACTTTTTTTAAGATTTAAATTTCTCTGTTTCATTGAAATGTTTTTCATAGAAACTCTCTAGCTGTAAGTTACTATTCGTGCATGTGTTTCTCCTTTGAGAGCTAGATATCTAAGGTAATGTTGTTTGGGGTAGGCCCGTCACAGGAGAAAATGTATTGGGCATGTGTTGTGTTTAAGAAGAAAAACAAAAGTGCATTAAAGCATGATTATTGGAGAGGGGATGTATCCAGGTTTTTATTTTAAACTCCCTGGACTGAGTTTTTAAGAGCACATCAGTGACTTCAGTAACTACTTTCTCCAGAACTTGGTAATCCAAAGTTCCATCTTTCGTTCATGGTTCAGCAAAAAAAAATTCCTTAGAAAAAGAGCCTGCCTGCTGAGAGAAATGGAAAAGCCCCCTTAGGAAAAGATCCAGCTACCTTAATCAGTCTTTTACTGAGCTCTTGGCAGCAGTGACTAAAAGTCACATAAAAGAAGGGGATATAATAGTCTGTCTGTCTTGACAAATAATTACTCCGGGGAAGATACTTTCAGGAGCTGAAATTGCAGTTCATTATACTTGTTTCTGAATCTTGATTATTTTCTTGCAACAACAAAATCCCCAAGAAGTTACTAGAATGAACTTTTATTTTTAAGTGGATGAGAGTGGGGACATAAGAACAAGCAAAAGTATAGATTTATCTTTGTCCTTATCTTTCAGCAGGCAGAACTAGATGGTCTTTTTGGTTTAAGAGCAGTGTTAGAAAGTTGTACCATGAATTTGTCCAATCTTTTTTTTGAATCCCTTAGATACTTCTTACTAAGAAAGTTTTACAGGTATAAAGAACTATTTTCCAAGGGTTTCTACTTCCATAACACATTTATTTTAGGACAAGTTCAAAAACACATGTGCTCTAGCATGAGATTGACACTGAACACTGATGCAAAATATGGGTCCCATCTCTCTTCCTGTACTCATGGAATTATGCTTGCCAGTGACTGGAAAGAAATGAGTTGTGATTTCCTACGATTTGAAGTGTTAAGGCGTAATGTAGCCCAAAAAATATCAGTCTAGTGGAGGGGTGAGTTTAAATTCTAGTGAAATGATACCTTTAGTATCATTTTTCTGTATTCTAGTTGCAGTTCAGATCAGTATCTTTAACTATATGTGGGATAAAATCTGTCTATTCCCATAAGTAGTAAGAATTTAATGTAAGAAGATCTAACCTGTTTTTAAATCCTGCCATATACTTGGTAGAAAGTTTGCCAGTTGACCATTCTGACAGCTCCTTCAATAAAACCCTGCTACTATTTCTAACTAATTCAAGGAGGGGAAAAAAAGTTTAGTTCAGTGTCCTCTGATTTCAGGTAGTTAACAAGTAGTTTCTGCAAGAAAAATGCTGTTTTTGAAGTCCAAATATTAATTTGAAAGTGTGATTTTAATGGAGTGTTTGAGCAATAGGAATTAAAGGACAATGGCCCATTGTTGCTGTTCTGATCTTGAAAGTAAATTAGAGCATCTCAGTATGAATTAATCATCCAAGAATATGAATTTTTCACTGCCAGTATTTCTGCGTGTTCTAAAAGTAGCAATCTGCACTGTTCTCTCTTCTTGGCTGGATGTCACTTTTGTGCTTGTCACAGACACTTGTATATTAATCATCAGTTTTACTAGTGATAATGGCTTAGACACTTTGAATGTCACGAAGTACACAGAGATGTTAATAAAGATCATTAAAATGCCCTAGTAGAATGGTGTGTGGTGCACACTGGCATGTCTTGTACAGTAGTAATTGGGAAAATACACGCTTTTCACAGACATACAGTTACTGCCATTTGTTTTCTTGATTTGTGCTAAGAAGTGCAGGATTCATATTTAAAAATAGTTATGTTAATATGCAGTTTGACCCCAAGTGTCCAAGAATGTGCTGTATTTCTTCTCCAGCTGGAATCATTGGTTTCATACACTAATAAGTATTTGGTAAGGCTAATGGGTTTCACTGTTAGACTTTTTTAAAAACAGAATGTGTCACCTCCTTCCCTTGTTTCAAATACATATTGACTGAATTAAGATTTTCCCTTCACATATTTTAGAATAATAATTGGAGGATGGTGATGAGAAATGTTATCCTGTTGCTAGCTCACTTTTGAAAAACATGAATTTGCCTTTATTTTTGTGTGTTTCACAGCCTTCTTTCTTCAATAACATATTCTCCCAAATCAGAACGTAAAACACCTGAACCTTTAATACCAGCAGACAGTGATAATGAAAAGGGTGAAAGGAATGGGAAGAAAGTCTGTTTCAGTGTAACAGGTGATGAACAAGAGGATTCTGGTCATGATACCATCAGTAACAGGGATTCTTACAGGTAACTTTATTAATAATATTTTTATTTTTCAACTGAATCAAATATGGAAGCTTGTAAAGTGTGAAGTGGTTATGAAGACTATTAGAATATGATTATGACATTGCTGATGGAGGAGTAACTAGCCTCAGGATGTGTAAAATAAAGTCTTATGAGTACAGATTAGTTATTATATCTTGGTTGCCCAAATCTGGATAGGCTATCACAACCAAAGATGTAAAACTTTACTTTAGATTACCTGTGTTACAAAAACTAGAAATAGCTGCTTATTATGTCTTCAACAACAAACCAAATATCTACCATGGAAAGCAAGGTGATAGAGCCACCATTCTTCCTGATCTAAAGAAAAATATACTGTTTATCAACATATATTTCTCATCTTCTTTCACTCTAAATACTGTAGCGTCAACTCACCTTTAGAATTTGATATGCATACTGTGACTGTGAATGAGCATATGAATAATTTTGAAAAGGAAGGAGTAATTATAGCAAGTATAGCTCTTATATAGATGATACTCTCTTGCTTAGAGAAAATTGACTAATGATATAAAAATGAAATTCAAATTTTAGCTGCAAGTAAAATGAGGGTTCATTATTTGTTCAGTATCATTATCATGCTCAGAAATTAGAATCTCAGTAGGTTTATCATTCTTCTACAGAACTCTGTTGCTGAGGTTTCTTTCCTAAGCTGTATTTGATTACTGCAGCCTGGTAGATACGAACTCTCCATCAGAGTGGAAAGAGAACAACACAGATGTAAACACAGAGATAGTTTGCACAGATTATGTTCATTTTGTTCTTACCGTGGTGAACACACAGGTAAAGTTCTTGGTCCAGCAGAAGCTCATTTAGAGTTTCCTGCATGTTCATGGTGTGTCAAACTGACTGTTCATGAGCTGCTCCAGTGATGTGTGCCTGCTCCTGTTGAGAGGTTTCCCAGCTGGCACAGGATTTGTATGTGGAGAGAGAAGGTGTGACCCAGGACATGAGCATCTCTTTGTTCAAAACATTTTCTTTATTCTGATTCCTGTCCTTTATAGTCCATCCTGGCTGTGTAGGAATAATAAAACCTAGGGTTCTATATACAGAATAATCATAAAATTTGTGCATTAAGGACAGGTGTTGGAGTGAGATCAGAATGGTTTCTTCTTTGCTTAAATAATTGTGTTAGTCAATACTTAAAAATCTCCAGCTCTCATAATGCCACAGTGGTTATTACTGGAACTGTTTGCCTAATGTCAGCCATCATAATGCTCTCATTTTGTATAGGGTCTCCTTCTAAACCTTACAAAACAACACAAAAGTCATGCAGAATGATACAGCAAATGCATCTAATCTGTTTCTCATTTTCTTGTGTTTTATTTTCTCATGCTTTGCACAACCCAGTTTTAATTAACCTTCATCTCCCCTTTGGAGACTTTAATAAGTGAATAGAGTTAGTTAGAAAACATTTCTTAATATCCAGCCAGAAATTTTTAATACTCCTTGGGACTGTTCACCCACTATTAGGAACATGTTGTTACTGATGTCTTTTCATCTACTTAATGGTTATGATTGTAATTACATCATATTGCTTCATTTAGAAGTTTAACTCATTCGTTTACCTCGTTGACTACAGGTCCAAAACATGTACATGAGCCAGGAAATGTAAGTCACTCTCCCTAAATTAGTGAAAAGTCTCTTCTGCATCTACACAAATAAAGAAAATGAACAGGGAGCACATGTATAACTGCAGTGTTATTTTAATAATGGATATGTTAATCTTGGTGAATGGGTACACCCAAATCATAAAACAAGACCCATATCATTATGTATAAACCTCCCTTAGGTACACTTTTACATTATCTTACATTCACTTGGGTTTTTAAGACTCCCTCTGCTGGATAATTACTTAAGCATTTCCTGCATTGAAACTAAATTATTTTCATATGGCTACACAGCTCTGAAGACTTTGAATTCAAATGTATCTTTATAGGATTTTTAGTACAAAAGTCTATATTTTACTCTGGTTTTGCTGCAGGAGTAGGTATATTTCCTTGTATTTTCTGTACAGAACAAATTGCTTTTGAGAGAAAAGTGCAGAAAAAAAATTACACATTTAAATCCCCAAATCTCCCTATTAGACCAATGTGAGTGAGATTGCATATGCATAGAAGTTTTGACTGAAGCCACAGATGTAATTGTCTATACATCTCTAAAAAAAGGAACAGCTGGAAGAGATGGGATCATGAACTGTTGTGGCTGACAAGGAAAACAGTTTGTAATTTCAGTTTTGGTGCTATTCAAATGAATCAAATCTCTTGTAAACCCACTGTGAGACTCTGTTATATAAGTCGTAAAGACTCAATGTTTGTATTAGCTATGGACCGGGAGAAAATGTGAAGTAACTAAAACATTTGAGGGCACAGATTCAAAAACTACCACTCATGCAAGAAAAGTTGGTTGTTTTGCATTCAAAGTCTGTATTACTATTCTGCGAGTACTTGTTCACAGGTAAGGGGAAGGGAGATAATTGAAGCATCTATTTTGGGAATCCGGTCTTCTGAGTCTTACTAGGACTGCAAATTAAATGAAAGTCTAAGCACAGGGATCTGTATTGTGTATAAAGAATTACACAGACCATCACATCATTATATTTAGGATGGGAAAAGGGAAAGAATTTCCATAAATTTTTTTTACAGGGCCTGTGTTAAAGGACATGGCTTTATTTATTTTTTTGTTTTGTGTTTTATTTTCAAGCGACTGCAACAGCAATAGGAACTCCATTGCCTCTTTCACCAGCATTTGTAGCAGTCAGTGCAGTTCTTATTTTCACAGTGATGAAATGGATTCAGGTATGTTTAGAAAAGTCATCTATTAATCTGTCTTCTTTTCCCTTTATTCAATTTTATTAATTTCATTTGCCTGGCAGTTTTATTGTTTTTATATTAAAAATTGCATCCTCCTTAGTAATAGAAGTGCATAATTTTGCTTCTGCCTAGTTAGTGCTGCACTTAGGAATCCTTCTGTAAAAGAGAGCCAACATTCCATTATCTCTGTGAATAGACTGTATTAGAGCTCCTGGAGTCAGTGCTTTTCATGTCTTTAATGTCTTGACAGTGCATTGTGTTGCACAGAGTCAGGAGCATTTTAGGTGAGTGTGGAACACTCTCCTAGCCAGTGTCAGCACCTAGGCAGCAGGACATGGCTCTGTGTGTTTATAGGAAGGAATGTGAGACCACATAGAAGCACATCCTTGTTTATGCCACGACAAATTGCATTTAAGTAATTGCAGCTGCTAATAGGAATGAGATGGAATTTAACTGCATGGAGAAGGAGGTCATATACCCAGGGACTAATAATAAAAAAAAAAAAAATTGCTCTAAGCTGGAAGTATCATTTGGGAATGATGTTGGAAAAGAAAAAACTGGGCATATTATGAATATGACCCACCAATGAGGCCTGGCCATAAGTTTTATTGTCCATTGTACCAGGAGAGATAATTTCAGTTGGAACAGGAAAGTATTAAGACATTATGCAAGGTATCTGAGATACCTTGTGAATTATGCAGAGTAATGTGAATAAGACAGAATTTAATTTCCATTTTCATTTACAGAGTAAAGGATGAAGGACATAATGAACTGTTAATAAAAGAGGAGACCCAGGGTCCATATCTTCAGCTTAAGATAAGAATGATCTGATGTACTCTTGTGCAGCATCAAGCTGAAGTACCAGCTGAGGTGCCTAAAAGAACATGTCTTTGTTAGCCAAGCCCAGATGCAGTGCTTTAGATGACAAATACTGCTCCTCAGGGAAACTCAGACTCTCTGCTGGCTTAATTGTCAGCTGGTTCCAAAGCTAACCTGGTTAACTCCAGATCAGGAGTTTTGGGCACTTTGTTCTCTTGCAGTTAAAATCCTGTGAAGAGGTATAATGGTTGTAAGGACTAAAGGAGCTAAAAAAAAATCAAGGACAGAAAGTGTCATTAAAGTGTTTCACTGACACAAGAAAAATGAGTCTAGATTAACCTTGAATAAATTTGGATCGTAAATTATCAAGTGTCTACTTCTGTTCTGTAACCAACATCAAGGAGGAAAACCAGTTTTAAACTCAATTTTTCAACATTTTTTGAAAGAGTTCAAGGTATATTGCCTGTTGTCTGAAAGAGCAAGTGACAGGGCAGTGACCTAAAAGAGTCCTTCTCCTCTTCTCTTTCTTAGGAAATGATGTGGTATGTGCTGCTAAAAGCTTCATGTTGAATGATTTGGGTGCTGTATTTTTGCCGAATTACTAAAATCTCAGAACCATTCAGTTAGTAAGAACATTAGGATGTGAATTACGTGTAGAGTCCTTATAAAAACTTTACACTGAATGCATTTCAGAGACTTTGTGGTCTGCTGTGTTGGGTTCACACAACTTGGCTATTTAGTCTGGAATTCTAGTTCTAGTATTTTCTTCAGAAGAAAGAAAGGCATGTTCTGGTCACAGAATTGTTGAGGTTTCAAGGGACCTTTTAGGATGATCTGGTCTAGTCTCCCCCTCAAGCAAGCTCATCTAGAGCAGGTCTTCCAAACCATGACCAGTTGGGTTTTGAATGTGCTCCTTTCTTTAAGAGCTATTTCTGTATTATCGAGTAACTAATAAATGCAAAATATGTAGGGAGAACAGTCACTTAGTCCTGACAGTTTTAGCATCAGTCTGTGTGCAAAGCAGATTATCTAAGCTGCAAAGGTTTTGGAAAACATGTTGATGCTTCTAAACAGTTTCTAATTTTAAAATATTTTTCAGGTGATGAGCTTCCCATAAGTGTTCGAATCTCCCATGATAAACAGGACAAGCTCCATAGCTGCTTGGAGCATCTCTTTGGTCAAGTATGAAATTATTTTTCTTGGCTTTGATACTGATATCTGTGCTTGAGCTAAGATGTCTTTAGAAAATACTTCTTTTTAATTTTGCTTCCCACTGTTTACTGAGATGGTATGTATTTACTCATTTTCCCTCAGTTTTCTGTAAATAGTCCAAAACAGCAAATTAAACAGGCCCTTAAATTTAGTCTAACATTCTCCAGTTTGTTACTTTAACTAGAGCCATTAGGTAAGAAAAAATCCGAAGTTGCTTGTCAGTAGTCCACATTTCGTACACAAACAATTTCTAATTGTTGCTGTAAAATAAATAGATCTTTCTCACAGAACCTTGATCCCAACAGGTCGATTCAATCGTCAATCTTTTGAAAGGACCAGCTGTGATGAGGGTCTTTGAGCAGACAAAGTACTTCACACCAGGTCGAGGCCTCCAAGGTAACATTAATTCTAGCTGTGAGAATGAAAAGGCAGCTTGAAGGGTCCATGGCCATGGCTGTCAACTCCTTGAGCTGCTGTTAAAGGATTGATTTTGCTTAATCTTCGTATATTCTGCAGAAACTGATTGTTGAAGTTCATTTTTAATAGATATTAATTCTTAGTTGAAAACTGACTCCTTATATTTTATTGTATAATGTAGGAAAAAATGGCAAATTCAACTGAATTTTAGACTCTGAACTGACTGTTGTATTGCTGAGGTTTTCAAAGAAAGAAGCAATGTTGTTATATATATTTCAAGTGTTTTTAATACATTTTTGTCATAACTGCTGAAGCCATTCCTGATCTATTTTTTTACTAATGCCATATTTTTATTATTTTTGTAGTTATATTATGTTTGAGTTGATTTATAAATAATTTGAGATTTATAGTCACAGCAATATTTATACCAAATATATACTTATATAAATATTACTGATTGCTTAAAAAGAAATATCCTGTATGTAAATTTAGACACTCTACTACCACTTGTATGGTTGCTTAAATCTAAGTCTAATGTATAAATAAGCATGGTGGTGATCATAAGTCATGAAAAATAGAAAGGACTTCTTTCACTGAGTTTAGACTGAGTTTATAAAAAAAAGAAAGAAGTTCAATGGGAAAAGGAATGTTTCATTAATATCAGTAGTGAGGTGTATTGACGCTATACATGTCTTTCACCAAAAAATACTGGTTTTAGGTGGCCAGAGGGTGTTTTTTACCCCAGTTATGAGGTTTTACAAAACCTGAATTCATGAAAGAACACATAACTTCCTTTTTTTTTCCTTTTTTTACTTTTTTTTTTTTTTGGTGGTTTTCTTTTGATTGATTGGGAGTTTGGTTTTTTTGTTTGTTTGTTTTGTTATTTGGGGTTTTATAAAGTAAGTAATTCTGGTTTAAATTTAATTTTCTGATTGAAAGTATTTTGCCTCTAAAAGTTTCCGGGTCCCACTTACCATGCACCATGTTATGTACGTGTTTCTGAAAGAATCACATTTGGGGATGCTGCTCACTCTCTCCTTAGACTTCAGCAGGGAGCTTAGATGACTGTTAGATCTGTCACCGTAGCTTTAACTAGAGTTAAATAGGTTGCCAACTCCATGAGCAGTGAAAACATTTAGGAAAAAAAAAAGGTCTTACTGTGACTTTCTCAGGAGGCTTAAGCAGAAAAATACTATTTTTGTCCTTGCTTAGAGTTTCAGCAAGAAATGGAACCAAAGCTCAGCTGTCCAAAGAGGCTACGACTCCACATCAAGCAAGATCCTTGGAACCTCCCCAGCAGTGTCCGGGGCCTTGCCCAGAATATCAGAAAATTTGTTGAAGGTTAGTAGGAACAGCCTGGTCATAAATAAGCACTTCTTTAATGATACAGAGGGAAGGGAAGGGGAGAGGTAGAGCTGCTTCCTGCTGCTTCAAGGCAAGATTGGTGGAACACAGTGTAGTCCATAGATAGGTTGTACTCCCAATAACAAGATTAGTAGAGTTTATCTCAGCTGTCTTGTACTTACCCTGTTGGCTTTAGATGCTGAAGAGAAAATAGTTTTCTGACAAGTGAAAATAAAGGAACCATATATTGGATGTGGTATTTTTCTGCTTTTCAGTTGCTAGGTTTTTCAGTGTGGTTTTTCAGGTTTTTCAATCCAGCGGGCTTGCCTGATTTGTCACAGAACTTCATGGGACTGATAGACTAAAATGAGGCTTTTATTGAAATTAAACTATTTTTCCCCACTGTCTTGACTGGAGAGATAAAGTGTCTGCTGCTTTTGTCCTGTGCCTTGGTCTTCTCTGTGTTTTTCTGGAGTCATTATCTCTCCTTCTGCTATAAAGCCATAGTTTTCATTTAATCCATCCCAACTGATGGATGGACTCCTCCTCTGCCTCCCTTCCACCACTGTATAGAAGTTACAAGTACTCTGCTCCTCTTCACCACCACTGAAAAGGAGGTTTTAGGCTTTCTCCCCTGTCTTCATAAGAAAGTAACTGGTCTTTTCTCTCCAGAATCTCTTGCTTTTAATTCCTGCTTTATTTCCTGTGCTGCTTGATAAAGAAACAGAAATAAAGAGTTAAGATTATTTTTATAAAAATGCCTATGCTAGAATTCTGTGTGGAAACAAAAACTTAAGACTAGCTTTGAATTATTTGTGTGTATGTTTGTGTGTGTGTTTAGCTTCTTCTGTTTGTGGGCTAGTTGCTGCAGCGTCCCTTAAAGAAACTGTTAAATATCAGACCAATGGGAAAGAATTTTGTGATAAGTTTTATTATTATAAACTTTCAAAAACCAACCAGCCAAACCAAACAAACTCTTCCTTCTCTGACTTGGCATTTCTGATTTGAGATACATCATATTTTCAGACCCTGGTTTAGAAAATTATAAAAACAACCACATAAATGTCTCTCTTTTGAAGTCAATCACAGCGGGTTGACTATCCAATACTAAGTATAGTCCTTTTAGTTTAATGGTGGCTGTCACTGAATGAAAAATTAAGAAATAGTTTTGAATACTTTTTGTTTTTCTAGAGGTCCTTCTTCAGGTTAAACCAAATTATTTGCAAGTATTAATCAGGGTTTCTTTCAAAATCGAGGAGGAATGGAAACGTGTTGTGAACAGTCCTTGCTCAGCCCCTTTCAGAAGCTAACCTTACCAGACCATTTTCACAGACCTTTTTTGCCCATGAATAGAATTATTAGACCTAACCCATTTTAACAATGGTCATATACCCTCAATATTGAGCTGAGTTTATTCAAAATTTAGTGGGAGAGTTCATCAAAGTCCAAATTACTTGCTGCCTCTTTGTAATATAAAAGTTATTTTTTATTTTACACAGTTCAGTACTGAGAAAGATCCAGCAGCTGGATTTAACTGAAATCAGATGAACAAGAAGTGGAGTTAATATTGTTTTTAGCAGCTCCATTTTCCCTTTGTATCTTCATTTCTTGATTTCTTCCTTCCTGTCTTGCCATCATACACTGTGTTCACAGCTGGTCTGGATACCTAGGAGAACCACCAGTACTGCCCTGAGTTATTTATGGCTGAAAACCTAACACATGGCACAGAGTCATCTCCCCATTTCCTCTCTTATGCACTTCATTTAGGAAAAAACCCGAAAGGTGCCATGTAATATGACTGTTTAGTTGGGCTTATGAGAACAAGTTGAACAATGTATTGGGATTTTAGAAGAATCTTCCTGTTTGTTTTTGAGTAAAAGACAATATTTCAGTAATTAAGGAAAGCAGACACATTTTTCTTTTCCAAGAGGAAGAAGTCAAAGGAGACCACAGATACAACTTCACTCACTGTGGGCAAAAAAAATAAAATTAAAACTTCCAGTTGTTATAAACATACTTAACCATTACTGCTCAATGCTAAAGTATGGATGAATACAACAAATTTGTCTCCTTATTGGAAACGGACTTTTTTTTTTATAAAAGTGTCACAGGATATTAGTTTTTTATTCATTGTTCTGTTGCATTGCAGAATCTATTAGATTAGATTGATTAGTGCATTGATGCAGGAGACATGGGAGCCTCACAAAGATGAAATGTTTTAAGTACTAGATACTAAGATTCCTTTTATTTACTTTGTTTAATAAATATGATGAAATGGGAAAACTGAATGCCTTGAGGATGAGTGTTCTGGTCTGTCGGTTTTCTGTTTATTAGTGTTAGAACTGGGAGAACTATTAAAAAAATCCATGAAGGTTTGCACAGATTGGAAAAAAAAACAAAACAAAACCGAAAAAAACCAACCAAACCTTCCTTAACATTAAAATTAAAATATAGCTGGCCATTGCTTTGTCTCATTTGCTTTATTATATCATTAGAGAAAGAAAATTTTCAATGGTTACAGTAAAAGACCAGCCTAGAAAGCTAATCTAGTTGCTAGCATTGAAGAGTTCTCTGAAGTGATATGCAGGTTCTAGGAGGATTTGTCTGGAGCTAAGTAACTAAAGAAAAGAATGAAGTTATTTCTTGGACTGACTGGGCCTAATACATTTTTAAACCAATAAAGCTAAAGATAAGTTGTTGGCACAGGCAGATCTTTGAAGGTGAAGTACTTGATTTTGGTAGAGAAAGCAGTAATCAGGGCAGGAATTGGACAGGCACCAAACAGAGGAAGAATAATGTAGGCACTTGATTGTGAATCTGTGTGAGATATGTAGCACAAGAACTGGAAAGCACAGGAGGAAAAGGCTGGAGTAGAAACCAGGAAAATGAACAAGATGGATGGATAGAAAGGGACTCAACAACAGAAGGGTGTAAACAAAATAAAGAGAAGGAAACATTAATGTAATTGCTTTTTCCCACAGAAAAAATTAGGTAAGATTTTTGATCAAAACGAGAGGTGTTCTGGAGCAAGCCAGATTTCTAGCCAGCTAGTCATGTAACTACATGAGAAAGTGCAGTTGTTTTTCTAGCACTGTAATTTTAAGTTTAAACAGGAAATATGATGCAATTGAGAAAGTTCTCATCTATTTTAAATTAGGAGTGAGGTGTGATGGAGTGTTTTGGTTATTGAAGGTATAAAAAAATGTATTTCAATTTAAATAATAAACCATGCAGTGCAAAATCTATCTTTTTGAAATATTTTCAGGTGTGAAAAACAAAATAAAACTAAAATCTAGCCTTTCCTGGCAAAGATCAGAATAGCAGAATAACGTGGGTTTTTTTAAAATAAAGTACAAAAGAATCTTTAAAAATAAAAGAAACTGAAGGCATCTTGCATTACAAATCAGAATCTAAGAGAAGCTGCTAGGGAGTTACTCTTTTCCATACAACGTGTAGCAAGAAGGAGTGAGAGCTTTCATAGCATTTGGGATTTGTTGAAAAGCAAATGATTGACATCCAAGGTTCACTTCTAACCCCAGGTAAGTAGACAAATAATCTAAAAATAGTCTTTTGCCTGTGGGAATATTTTGAAACACAGGAGACTTATAGCAGTGATAAAAGACAGTTGCAGTGTCCTATGATTTCTCCATGAGCAGGAAATTGTTATTTATAGATACCTCAAATTGTTTTGAATTCAGAGATCCAACAAATCTTATATAAAAAAAGCTGCAAGTAATAGCCTCGATGTATCTAAGTTATTCAGATAAAAGCTGTATTTCCCTACACTCTCTTTTCAGTTACTAAGTTATGGTTGGACTCCAAGACTCCAGGTTATTCATCTCTGTTAGGGATTGTGTTTTCTTTTTTGAAAGACAGAAGGCTAAGAAAATGACCTAGAACCAGGATTTTTCAGGAATAACGAGTAATTTTTAATGTTTGGGTATTTGTATTTGAGATACTGTGATAGTAACAATGTAGGGGGAAACAAATTACTAAATTTTATTATTGCACATATAGCCAGTTTCAGCCCTGCTTGTGCACTGAACAGGGCTTTGAACAGGACTGCAGAGAAACTTCGGTGTGTGAAGGAAGGTTTGGAAAGATGTGAAAGCGTGTGAAGTAGTGTTCTGTTCATCTAAATAGTACCTGTAGGACAACTGATGTGCTGCAAATTAAGGTTATGGCAGATTTTCACCTTCCTGTATCTTGCAGCACTGGTTAACATATTTAAATTTGTGCTCTGGTACATAAAGTGCACTTTCTTCAGCCTGCCTGCAGCCTTTGAAAAGCAGGCCCCTTCCAGGAAAACATAAAAGGTGTGGGGGGGAATTGTAAAGAGAGATAAACCCACATTTTTGCCTGTGTAAATTAAGATTTTTTTTTTAAAATTTCTACTTTTTTACTTCATAGATTGTTAAGTGAAAAGACATTTCTGAAGCGAAATAAAATCCTGAAGGCTGGAAGTAAAGTGAAAATGCTGTTGTATTTTTCCTAAAGGCTTTGGTATCCATTAAAATAGGGATAATTTGAGATTTTTTGGTATGAACAAAAGAGTACAAGAGAATGAGAAGAAAAAATTAGGATAATGTGAGAATCAGTGAAAGCTAGTCTTCTTTTTCAAAGTTTTAGGACTGGAATTCCTCAGTTATGGACTTGGCCTGGCCAGTTGCTGCACATGTGCTCTGAGATAGCAGCTGCCTTTTCATGTGTCTTTCTCAGTGATGGTGCTTTTGATTGTTATCAGTTTTTATCAAGCCATATGTACAATTGAGTGAAGTTGAGACTCATTACTGTTTTGTAGGTATGAATCAGCATTGCCTAGAAAGAAGCTGGTATGAAATGAGAAAATGTAGATGCAATAGTATGTTGATGAAAACACTTTTAACCATTACCTCAAAGTATTTTCTTATTTTTCTTTAAGAGGTGAAAGCACGAATACTCTTGGCACTTCTAGAATATACAGGTAATTTTGCTTGTTTTGGGAGGGAGGGAAGAGACTGTGGATCGTTTGAGATAATTTTTGCTTTTAAACAGAAATCTGTGTTTACATTAAGGGGAAAAATCTCAGATATGATAAAACCTGATAACCAGCAACTTCATCCCACTGTTTAGAGTAAGGATTCCTGAAGAACACAGTTTCAGATATTTTTAACAAACATTGCACTTTTTTTTTTCTTTGAATGCAAAATACCTTATCTGGTCATTTACTTTAGATCTTGGCAGATAAAGTAAGTACTGAACACTCAGCTTTTGCAGTGTCTCAGCTGTCTTTCTTCTTTGGGAGTTTTCTTATTTGCTGTTTTTCTTTTCATTCCCATCTGTTTCCAGATTTATATTGCTATTTTAACCCGTGCCTTTCCTTTTGTCTATTTTTAGAGAATATTTAAGTTCCTCCTTTCTGGAAGGACTCTGATTATTCTCTGTATTAATTCTACTATCATGCCATACAGCATACAGCTTAAAATACACAAAATAGGGATGTGTGTTTGGAAAATTAATGTCACTGAATTGGTATTAAAAAAATAATATCTATGGCACAAGTTTCCTTACAGTTTGTAGGTGCCAACATGTTCAAGTAGGCAGTCCAATTTAACTGTAAAAGCTCATTATTTTGACCGTCTTACAGCACTGCATGAATGCATGATTTAATTATTTTTGTTATGACACACAAGAACAATTTTATAAAGGGGATTATAACCTTTCTTTGTTGTTAGATTTCTTCAAAATATTAGAAAAGTTTTTAGTAATTTCTCATTTACCATAAAATAAAAAGTGAATTGAGAAAATATCCTAGACTTGATTTTTTAAAAGTAGTTTTCCCTATTTATGTTGTTTTATAAGTTGGTAAACTATCTAGTTTATTTTGTATAAAAATATTTTTGTAAAAGGACCCCAAAGTGCTCTTGTATTCAGTATCTAATGTTCAGGTAGTATTAAATGAGATTCAGAAATGTGTTTGAGACACAGCAGAGCTGCCTCAGGAGCAGGAAATACAGAGGAAGCCAGCTGCTGTTAGAAAGAAAGAGATAAAATTCAGCAAAGTGGGAAACAATGTGTGTTGGGCTCAAATCCTGAGCACTGTTGGAACATTTGAAAGTTTTTTGACTGTGGAGAAGCCAGTGGGATTTTTGAAGCTGCAGATGTGTGTTATTTTGAAAGATGAAAATTCTCTCTTTTCTGGATTTGCACAACTTGAGAGAGACAGAGAGGTTGATTTGAACAATCAAAAAAAAAAAATAATCCCCCCCCCCCAAAAAGAAAACCAAACCACCAACAACAAAAACCATTGAGTCATAGTGCATAAACAGTAGTGATTGTCCATTTATGGAAAATATTCCCAAGATATTGGGTTCTGAGAAACTGTCAAATAGAATAGAAATGATAGCAAAAGAATGTTCATTGTTATCAATCGCTGAGGAAAAGACTGAAGAAGATCTCAGAGGAAAATAGACAGAACAGGGTTACTTTGAGCAATATCTGGAGTCCAAAAAGCACATTTTTAAATTTGGTAGTAACTTTGTGACTACTGAATAATTTCTGCTGATTAACCAGCCATCAGAATTCTTGTCAGCTCCATAGAAAAGTTGGAAGAAGACCTAAGCCTCTTAGAGGCAGAACAATCTAGTAGCAAAGACAAATATTTTAGGTTTTGGAAAGACCTCTGTATCACCTGATCTGCTTCTCCTGCTCTGAGAAGGATTAAGTCTACCTGAACCATCGTGATTGATGTTTGCCTAACAGCTTATAATGATAAAATTACTTGAAGACCTTCAGAAAAGAGGACGAGAAAGAAGAGCTGAATATTTATCATCACAGTTTTGTTCTTTATTGGGAATGTGTTTCCCTTTTTAATTCTTTTGACCTTTAGCTAATCTAATACCTATGCCCTTCAGAATAAATTGGTAGGTTAGCTAGTCCCTAATTCAAATCACCTGCTAATGTTCCATAGCTATCTACCTAAAGACCTTTTCTGGACTTTGTTGGCACCATAAATCTCTGCTGTTTCCTGGACATGTGGTGCTGCTCTGTACTTATTTTATAGATTCACATTCATATAAATTTTATTTGGATAGATTGTGTTCTGGTGAGAATACTGTGCTTTCCAGCAGACAGCCTTCATCTGCCCTCCCCAGCTGGTAGCTGTGGAATAAGCCAGATGATGCAGTCATGTTAAGAACTTCTGACTCTCCTTGCTTTCTGGTGGAAAGTAAACGTTTGTAGGCCCAGCTTGCTCTCACATTTCAGCAAAGAGATCTGACTTGCCTCAGTTGTTCTGTGACATTAAAAGTACATATTTCTGGTGGAAAGTAAACGTTTGTAGGCCCAGCTTGCTCTCACATTTCAGCAAAGAGATCTGACTTGCCTCAGTTCTGTGACATTAAAAGCACATAGAATTTATGGGATGTACTTTAAAATCTAGGAGAGAAACATACATTGTTTATAAAGAAATACTTTAAATTCCAGATTTTAAATACACTCATATGCAATTTTAGAATCATAACATAATATTTTAATGAGAAAAATGGCAAATTGGGTCATAGAGAACTATTAACTAGAGATAACATTAGGCTGTAAACTTGTAAATTGCTTGACATAAAAATGATGTGTTTTATAGATAAAGAATTCAAGCCTAGTTTCTTTGCTGTTAACTAATCTCCTGTTTAATTTTGCTTTTGGCTTTTACACCTCGCAGATAGCGAGATACAGCTGAGGCGAGACATGGTCTTCTGTCAGAGCCTGGTGGCCACAGTCTGTGCCTTTTCAGAGCAGCTGATGGTGGCCTTAAATCAGATGTTTGACAACAACAAAGAGTATGAAATGGAAACCCTGGAGGCCAGCAGAAGGTGGTTGGAACAGATAGCCAGTGCAGGTCTTCTCCTTCATTTCCAGTCCCTGCTCTCTCCAAACCTGGTAAGACTCCTCTTGTCTCATGCTTGGTCAGAGTCCCTTTTCCTTTCCTGAACCAAGGACATGGCTAAATAGTCTCAGATGTAAATCTGATTTTCTATGTCCTTTTTGCTAATCTTGGTACTTAGCTTCTATTTGGAAAAGTTACAATTCTGATACTTAAAGATTTGGGATCTGATACAGACCATTACAGGTTGGTTATGATATGGGAAATAAGTTTTCCACAAAGACAGTATTCTGTTTGCTTTGAGTTAGCAGGTAGTGAGTTTACCCTTGACTCCCCACTGCTGATGTAGCTGTTCCCTGGGATTGAATATAGTGTTAGGCGATAAGCAGAGTTTCATTTTGCAATTAGCAACAATGCAAGGTAAATAAAATACCTGGTTTAGGTCATTTTGTCACCCTTTTCCCTAAAAAACAATAGGTATAGTAGTTGAAGGAGTAAATGTGCTGGTCTGTTTTGCTCCTGTCATATGGAAAATCCTTGTAGCCTGTCAGAGTAATTGGAAATCGACTGTTTCTTCACAAGGCTTGGCAAAGAGCCATGGCTTAAGAAACAATTAAAACTGGGACATGGCTTTGTAGTCCCTTAATCCTCAGTTATCCAAAGTGCTTCTTTAGCTATTTAAGATGCTTCTCACACTAAACTGGTTCCTGCTAGCCAGAGGAACTGTGAAACAGTCTGCATAGCCTTCTCCATGACAGTTTGGTCTACCTCTGGAGTTGCTTCTTAAGAATAAAACTCCATGTAAATAACAGATGATGTTCCTAGTATCGAAGATGTTCTATCCTCTCGTTTTCTGTCTTGGCAGCAAATTGCTGACAAATTAACATAAGAAACCTTAGAAGCAGCAGAAACCAATACAAATAAAGTTATTTCTAAATTACAGTCATAAAGTCTCAGTCTATGTATTGGGAAGCCAGTGTGACCAAGTACCTCACAGGCAGCTCTGGTACATGGGTTTGCACGGGTATGTGCAGTTTTCAAACAGATATAATCAGGGCCTCAGAGAAATAGGGGAGCTCTTAATCCACATGAGGAACATGTGAAGAAAGCACTGTCTGGGAAGCTTGGACTCATGTCTTGAGTCCTGGATGCTTTTTGACAATGTGTACCACTAACAGGTGGTCCAATACTTAAGAGTTCAAGAGTAAATTCCATTGGTGTCTGTCTAATGTTTTACCTTGTGCTTTGTTGTTGTGTTAGCACAAAGCAACTGTAGTCTTTACAGCTCTGAATAATGATATTTTTTTCACTGCAGATTGCAGTGATTTCCTTTGTAGTGAAAATGTGTGCTACTCAACTATTTTCACATAATCAGATATCTGCAATATGCATTGTCCAATTGAAAATAAAGTTCAGTCTTTTCTGCCTAACGATTCTTAACCAAGGGAATTGTATCTAAAGGCAGCTTTTTCAATACCTTCCCAGCACTATTTGGCTTACAAATTATCTGTGTTATTTCAAACAAGGGGTTATTTTAAACAAGGGTATTTGAAGGAAATTACATTCATTATGGCCAGAGTTCAGTAAAGAATGAGCAGTTGTGCAAGAGTTTCCCACGCTGCTCTATGGTATTCAGACTGTTCTGCTGACAAAATCACTCTGTCCATAGACTTCATAAATTGAACCAGAAGACAAGATATTTCTAGCAGATTTGCTTTTTCATAAGTACAAGGGGGAAAGCTATTTCACTATATAGATCAAGGAAAATAATGGGGTTTTTTTCTTCTGTTCTATCATGTTGTAAACTATAATTTATTGTCAGTTTAGGGACAGCTATTTATTATTCTTTGCCATCCTACTGTTTCAGTTCTTAGAGGGGGAACAACACATGATTCAGATTTTCTTTTGGCTCTTGCTAATCTAAGGAGCCAGGGGAGGGCTGTGTAAGGAATAGAATTACTTTAAGTGATTATTGATTTAAGCTGTAATTGGTCTGCATAGTTAACTCAAGATAAACATAATTGTAGATTACTATTTTCTTTTTAAAGGTTCAGTTGTCTTGAGAAATCCTGGATCTCTTTAACTATCTCTTTCGCTCAGGGGTACACAGACTGAACTATAGGTGCAAATCAGAATATTGGCACATCTATGTACTTGATTTGTGCCTAGAGTTTTGTAGGTGAAGTGCAAGTCATCCTGAGCTGTAAATTTTCTGAGCTTCTGGTTCAATTATTGGTGCTTAGAGTGTAGACAATAAACTCTTATATGTTGTTCGTAAGTGAAATCCTGAAGTTATGGCAATTTTAAAAGAAAATTGCTAAAAAAATATAGTTTTCACATTTCCCTTCTATTGCTTTATGAGATGGACCTGGTGGCAAGACAAGGTGCTAAAATCTGGTGTCTTACAGAATAATGACAGAATGACTTTATTAAAAGACATGAGAAATAATGGTGGCTATAAATTACCTATTAATTTACTGTATGATGTGATAATTTTAATAATCCTGAACTAGTAATAAAAGGGAAAATGCTAATAGAAACAAAGAAATTTACCTCGTCTAGGAGTTAAATAGGTTATACACTGCAGCGGTGAAATGTTGTGCAACACTCTGTAGTTAATTTTATGTCTTGTTTTTTTATATTATTTCTGGTAGGGAAAACATCTGGCTGAGATGACCTTTCCAATTTTTATTTTGCCTTTTTTAGGCTGATGAACAAGCTATGCTAGAAGACACATTGGTTGCATTGTTTGACTTGGAAAAAGTTACTTTCTTCTTCAGACAATCAGAGCCAGAACCACTAGTTGCAAGTGAGTAATTAATATCTGGATTTTACTGGTTTTGTAACATTTTTTGTTCCTAGAAGATCACCTCTGATAGGGAATCTTATACAACTTGGAATTATGGAGAATAAGGAGATGTATAGCTCTCCGGATATTTCCTAGATGTACTGAAATACTGCTGTCATCAGTGACACTGCATCTGGCAATGTCAGTAACCCTGGGGGAAGAGTTGTTTGCTTAGCTGAATTTTGGGAGTATGAACATTGGGAGTATGTGACTGCATCTGGAAAGTCCCTGGAAGACCCAACTGTTGTTGAAGAAATGTGTAAAAATAGCTTGAAGGTCTTGGTAGGGAAATGCAACTGATATGAGGACCCAGAAGCATAAACCACATTTCATTTTGTTGTGTGAAAAATAAATGACTTTTTGAAGAGTTCCTTGAGAGGACAGGACAGGCACTATTAGGATCGCTTTAAATTTGGCAAGAACCTTTCTCTGAGACCTGCTGCTGCAGATGATCAGGGTCCTGAAACCTTCGTCACAAAACTTGCCCAACTCAGCAGGAAAGGACTGTCTTTGCAGTCTGCTGTTCACACACTTTGCTCATTTTCAGCCATTCCTTTATTAATGTATGGTCAGCCAGTAAATATTGTCCTGCAGTGAACTTTGTTTAGTGAGCAAAAAGGCCTCATTTTTTTCCTGTCTCACAAGTCCCCGGGGAAGGGAGGAAAGCATGTCTGCTTCACATCAAGCCCTTCTGAAACAATTCCTTTGCTGGATTAAGACCACACTGGAGAGAACTTCTGCAATAACCAAAACCAGAAGACACAAAGCTACTCCACAAAACTGCCTCTGCTTAGGAGAATTCAGTAGCACAGGGCTGAGAGTCAGGTAGGATTTAGCCTGTTCAAGACCACAGTTATTTTGGTTTGATTCAAGTACGGCCCCTGCTCAGAGTGTGTTCAAAAGAAGCCCTGCTAAACCCAGTAACAACATGAAAATGCAGTTCCAGGAGGGCCTCCTAATGTGGAGTTAATGCTGTCATGAACTGTTCATCTTGCAGGATCTTTCAACTGAGGTGTCTGTGCTAATAAACAGGAACGCCATGTGCTCAAGGATTGTAATGAATTCTGTGTTTTCTTTTGGTTTAAATGCTGCCATCACAGTCACACTGACTATGTTTACAGTAGCCCAAGAACTGGCAAAATACTTTTTTTTCAGTTATGATTCTGCATAATCAATAAGAGAAGATAAGTATTTTCTTGTTACCATAAGTAGTGAAAATGTTGCTTGGAATCTTTAGTGATTAGGTACAATGTGATTTATGCTCACAGTAAAAAAACTCTATGTAATAATAATAATAATAATAATAATCTGCAAGCCACTATGTTTGTTACTGTTTTCAACTTGGAGACTTATCTATGGAAACAATCTATAATGAAAAATACTGAATGTTGTGTCTGCAGTGACTTTTTTATCTAACTGCATGAATTTTGTGTGCAGCAGTTTCTGGAAAAGAATGTGTCATTGCTTACAGTCGAATTGTAACACTGACTATATTTTTAGATGTCCCAATCACATACCAAGCAGAAGGAAGCCGGCAAACACTGAAGGTTTACTTCTACCTTGATGGTTACCACTTTGAACAGCTTCCACAAAGGCTGAAGAATGGAGGAGGATTTAAAATCCACCCAGTGCTTTTTTCACAAGGTAACTTGAGGTTAAATTCACCCTGCCCTGCTTTTTTCACATAATAGCTAACTCTCTTTAAACTCCCACTTATTTACTCTGATATGAATCCTCTGTAGTCATAAAGCTACAATGCTTATATATAGGTGTTGTTTAATGTGAGCATTTTTTGAGGACTTTGAATTAAAATGTAAATTGAAGAAATTCTGATGTCTGTAATAAAAAATAGAGGCATGGTTATAAATTTGTAAGTTTATGCCAGTTACATGATTCCAACCACAAAGAGTGAATCTTCATTTATCAATATTGTTTTGTTCTTTTTAGCCATTAATGGACAATAGTCAGACCATGAAACTTGCCCTTAAAAGTGTTTTGCTTTTCAAATGCTTTTGTAATCTTTTCCCATTACTTCATATTTGAGGACTAAGCTGTTATCCCCCTGAGAATTCTGTCTCCTGAAAATGTTATGAAGAGTTAAATAGCATTCTCAGGTTTATGTAGTTATTGCTCTGCAAACATTACAAAGTGAGGAATGGTGGCGCTGGTGCTCAGACTGTTCATAAATTCCAGGCAGCCTGCATTAGCTGCAGTGTCATTACAGTCATCAGGAGCGTGAAGTTTGCTCCACTGAAATGGTGAATGTGAGCTGCTGATTGCCTTGAGCCGCCTTTGATTTCACAGGGAGCTGAAAATACTCCACACCTTGTGAAAGGCTTCCAGGGTCTGTGTGGAATAGGCAGAAGTCAGGCATACAAATGAAGTTTTAGAGGGGAGCTTGGTCCCTGATAGACAAGGAAGATGTAAAAGAAAATAGTGCACAGAAACATAAATAAATAGCTAAGCTTAGTATAAAGTTAAAACACACAATTAAAAAAAAAATAAGATCCCTGGAGTTAGATTTTTAATAAAAATAATGAAGACTTCAGTGGTTTTCTTTTGAAAGATTGATTTCAGTCATAGGGAGAAATGAGAACACTGAGCAGGAGGCAAATTTCAGTAGAGCAGACAGAAAAAGCACTTGAGGGAGAACAGAAAATACCTTGGTTCAGCTGAATTCCTGGAAATACTGTTTTTTTAGTTTGGGGAGGGGATTCAGTGTACTTGGGGATTTATTTAGCAAAATTTTTTCCACTTCTGTTTCCAATAGCCAAAAAATTTTTGATTCTTAGGATGAGCATCTGTGTAGTCAGCTAAAGGAAAAGGATAAGTATCCATTCAAGTGTTTACATCTGCTTAATATTTTTCAGTAGAATGGAAAGTTTCTTCTTTCTTTATCATATCAAATTTCTTTAATTTTCAACCATCATCCTCTAAAATAGTCTATTGGACTCCAAGAATAAGAAGTCCTGGGTAAGTCTTTAAATTCTAGTGTAAAAATCATTATTTGGGGTTTTTTTACCTCATTAATGAATGGATTGGGATTCTCTTTTTCCCTTCTTTCATATGAGGTTTGGCTGACCTGCCATCAGAGTAACTCAGTAGATTCCCATCTGTAACTGAAATTTATTAGCTACTAATGTAGAAATCTTATTTAAGTTTCTTTGTGAAGTGAATTTTTGTTCCCCCAATCTAAACATAGGTAAGTTGTTTCCTGCCTAAAATACAATGGTTGATGGTATTTTCAAATGGAACATTTAGGAATTAATGTTTTTGGGATACTTTTTCAAAGGCACAGGTCAGTGCACATCAGACTGTTTATCTCTGTGTTTCTCTATTCTCAGTGTCATAGCTCCATGCCTAAAATTGCAAGTCAACATATTTACATGATTAGCACTATAATATTTTTGAAGTTTTTTTTGTTGTTTATCCAGTCTGTATTATCTATCTCTCCATTTGTAAAAAACCAGTTTTGTTCAACCACATGCCCAAGTATGTGCACATGCAGAAGGATCCTGGTATGCAAAACTGGGGCTGGGGCTGTTGAGATATTGGCATTTAGATTGCTCTATTTCCTACATTAGACTTAAGATCGCCACAAAAAATTTAAAGACACTATTTTAAATGAAAATTCTGTTTATTTATTTATAATTGTTACATAGTGTCTTAATTATGTATATATTTAATTTTTTTTTTTTTAGTTTTTCATAGAGTGTTAGAATAATTCAGATTGGGAGGGACCTCAAGAGACCTCTGTTCCAACCTCCCACTCGTAAGAGCAACAGCTGTGGCATGAAACCAGGTGGCTTGGGTGTCTGACAAGGAGGATCTTGCAGGCACTCAGGGACCGAAACTGTACAACCTCTTGGGAAGCCTGTTACTCTACTTGACTGCCCTAGTTGAAAAGTTTTTTCTTTCTATTGAGTCTCTTCAATTTGTGTGAATTTTCAGCTTGTACCATTGTGAAGAACCTGGCCCTTTTGTGGCCCTGCACTTGGGTGCATTCCACTGCTTATCCCAGTTTGGCATCAGCTGTAAACTTGTCTTACCTCCTTCATGTCAGTGATAAAGACACTGAACAACAGAGATACCTGTGATGCTCTGCTTGTAGTGGGCCCCTGGGCAGGCCATGTCCCATTAGCTACTACCCATTGACTCCACCCATTCTTCCAGGTTGCTTTCCCAATTCTGTGCCTTCAGAACATAACATCCTATCTTGGATTGAAGAATACCATAGAAGACTTTTTTGTAAGGAGAGCTTCCTTGCAAAAGAACTTTCTAATAGTAGAAAGATTGAACCCTTCAGAGAGGGCAGAGATAAAGCACACAGCATGGGAGTCCCTGCCTGCACCTGTGAGCGTGGCCCCGCAGAGGCAGAACTCTGAGCTCCTGCCAGTGCTCACAGATGACTGAGTTTCCCGGCTGGGTAATCTAATTGAGTAAAACCAACTTCAAGCCAGTAAAATAAGCAGTAAGGATTATCAATTCTGTTTGTGTTAACATGCTGTTATAAATGGAGTGCAGTGGATATTTTTGTTTGAGTTGTCTGGTGTGACTTAGAACCAAAGAAGAATCAAGTCTGACTGTTGAAACTTAGTATTTTTTGCACAGAAGTAGAATTACAAACTGTGAAAACGCAGAAGGGGAGTGCAATTTGCATGTTCTTTCACAATGAATGAATTATTTATTAACTGGTCATATTAAGCAATACAAGCAGAATTAATATTCTGTGTGCAGTTGAAGCTGTAAGGCAGCAGCATGTTTCCATGAAAACTCTGCTTATGGCTTGCATTTGCTGATGGGGTGATGAGTTCTTAGAATGTGATGTGTTTGGATTTCTAAAGTGGCAATGTTCCTAATTGTAAAGCCTTTCACACTTCTCCACAAAAAAAAAAAAAAAAAAAAAAAGTTTCACCAAGAGTTGGGGTTTATGTTTTAATATGGTTGACCTCTTCATGTGAAGATCTTAATGTTTTCAGTCCAAATTTTCATGAGAATCCTTTCATTGAAGTTTCTGTTCAGTTCCTGAGTTCTTGTAGCAATATTCATCCTTGGTTTGGTGACATGAATGCAGCAAACGTTGACAAGTATTTGACTTCTCTTATCTTGAAAAGGAACTTCTAGGCCATTTTCAGAGATCCAGCAAAATTTGCTTTACTTCATCTAGAAGAAAGTATTCACATTTATCAGTGGGTACAGCTAGAGGAACCTCTAGGCAATGAACTTCACATTTCTGAGGTGCTCCACATCTCCCAAAATCGGGCTTCATGAGAAGTTATTAGGTCTCCCTCTGTGAAAGTTACATTGATCTTTTATTTCTTCTACCCCAGCTCATTCTATTGTTTTCTTCCAGGATATATCAGAATTAAACCTCACATTTGCATTCAAAAGGCAGGAATACTGTAATTAGAGCAAAGGAACTCAAATTAGTGCTCTCCTTTATATTTTCCACAGGGCAAGAAATATAATTTTTCTTGTAAATGAAATTTTTAAGAGAGATCTGTAAACAGCTCAGCAATTCACAGTAGGGTCACAGCCTCAGGGTTAAAAAGTACTTCACTTGTGTGTGAACAAAACTACAAAGAAGGCAATTATTAAATATTTAATACTGATCTCTCTCTTTTCCACTGTCCTTTCTCTTTCCACAGCATTGGAGAGCATGGAAGGATACTATTACAGAGACAGTGTCTCAGTGGAAGAATTTCAAGCTCAGATTAATGCTGCCTCACTAGAAAAAGTCAAGCAGTACAACCAGAAGCTACGGTGGGTAAATAAACCAGCATTCCTGGAATTAGCTTACAGAGTTCTGTTTTTCAACTCGGTTTCTGTGACACAGCTTTAAAATGAAATGTGCTGTATGGTGGTTGGCATTGGGTTCATGACTGAGTAAGATCCAAGATTCATTATTCTGATTTTTTTTGGTTACTGCACTGTTAAGTTACTTTTACAAAAATTGCTTTCTCCTGAAAGTTTTAGCTGTAATTGCCTCCAGGTTGCTGTAATAATGCATATAGGAAAGGAAAGGTCTACTTGATCACAAGTGGAGTATCAAAATTGCCACACATTATGATCTGATTTTATAGACCATATTTACCTAATTTCTACAGAATAGGACTTGAAAAATAATGTTCTTTTCCTGCTGTTTCTCCCCACTCCCCACCATACTAATGGGAATACAGACATATTTGGATACCTGCATCAGCAATGGCTATGGATTACAGAGTGCATACTTGCCAGTATATGTAGAAATTATGCAGCTGTGTATTTTGGTACATATTTTATTAAGGAGTTGCACATAAAGACAGAATTTCTATTACACAAAATAATCTGTTAGTTATGAAGTAAAGTAAGGAAAATGGGTCATAGATGACTCTTGTGTTTCACTGTGACTGTGCAATACACCTGTTTGAGTATTCTTGCTTGCCATGATTTGAAGAGTGCAAAGGACTGTGGTAAAACCACATCTATTCACTTCTAAAATTCTTGAATTGGATGGAAATGTCATTTCACCAGGACTATTAGGCAGTTTATAAAAGCAGCAGAGAAGAGGAGTTAAAAAAAGCTCAAGGTCAATGGAGAAGGGGGAAGATGATAAATGAGGATCTCTTTGCAATTCCTTTACCTGTTGGTTCTCTCTGGAAGGTTTTCTTCATGGATCTTGCAAAATTATTTATCTTATTTATTATTAAAGCAGTGGGATTTCTAGATGCTGTTTTAATCTAAGTACTGGTATTGCGAAAGTGATTTTAAAGCAAATTACATTCAGTAAGTGTGGTATATTTGATTTTTTTTTCCCGTGTGACATCTCTTTCTGCATTTGTATGTCAGTGACAAATGTATTCATTTAGTCTGTTTTCCATCTTCTTGTATTTGTACTTCCTATTTGGGAAAAAAAGTGCCTCCTGAGTGTTTATGTGACAAGGTTTATGTTATAAATCAGTTTTACAGAGAACTTTGGTCATGCCAGTATTTGGCCTAGATGAAATCAGCTAGTTTTGGAAAGAGATTCTATCAGTTAGACAAGGAAAGACTTTTTGTGTTGGTTTTTTGCTATGAATAGGACCAATTTAACCTCCCATGAAAATCCTTAAAATAAATTCTTCCTGATTCTATGCTAGTTGTGTTCCTTGACCTTGCTTACCTCATGAGTTAGGTCCTCCATTCATGCTGTGGCTATAATGAGCTACATTCCTCTTTACAGTGTTGTGGCTCACAGCTCTGATGAATTGCTAAGCTTCAAGGCTTAGTTTTATAAGAAGTTACCATGAAAAACTTATCATTAACAAAAATTACCATGGGTATCTCTGCCCAGTTCAGAAGAACTGGAAAATAATTTATGGGTTTTTTTTCCAGCTCTCTAGCGTCTGACTAGAACATTCAGTAATTGATTTGTTTGCTTTCTGGTGAACTCTACCCATTTCTTAAGTGCAGCACAAACAGCTTCAGGAAATAACTGACAAAATGTGAAGAGGAAAAACAGAAAAGCAGATGCTTCATTCTTGTTCTGCTATTTGCTAGCCTGTGTAGGTGTTTGGCCAGGAGAATCTAATGAAGTAACTACAGCAGCAAAAGATATTAACATTTGGGTAATTGCTTTAAAGAAAAACAAAAATCTGAAATTAAATATTCCCTGGAAGCATACTCAAGTGCAATAATACTTCACATGGAAGAAATCCTCCATGCAGCACTTCTTAATCATTAATAAAATTAGTCATCCAAGATACAACCCATAAGCTATTCTTTGTCCATAGAGAAGGAATGTGCTACTTGCTTGTTCAGTGACCATCTGATGAGCATTTTATAATCTCTCCATCAGTACAGCAGCCAAAAGCAAGTGGGAGCAATGGCAATGGAAAAGGTGGTGGGAGAAGAGCATGGGGACTAGTGGGAAAGAAAGAAATGTTTGGCAGTGACACTGCAGCCAAGGCATCCATTGATGAGAACTCAGGAAACAATTTCAATTTCTCTTATTCCTGATGCATTGAGTTAATAATGTTCCAATAATATTGTGAAATAAAAGAGACCCCTGGGTTGTGTGTGGTCCCAGCTGCAAACAGAGATGTTGGCCTAGCTTGGTATGTACCCAAGCAGGAGAGTAAATTAAAAAATGAGTAGCATCTTTGCTCAGCTACCTCTTAATTTCTTGTAGTAAAGTCTTCTTAAAGTTTTATTACATAGAATATATTTGGGTGATGGATTTCATACTGATGTGTCCTTTAAACGGATTAATATACAGGTTATTTATTTGAATGAATCAAAATATATATTAGGGAATTTTTAGTGGATTTCAGGAAGGGCAGCCATTAAGTCAAGAAGCTGAACCTTTGCTTTTATTGCAGAGGTCATTCATAACTCTGTAACTCTGACCAGCTTTTCCACAGTATCAGAACTCATGCAATAAATCCAGGTGCAAAATTTTCCTCCTTGACACTGATTTGAGCATCATAAGAGCTTCTGTCTTTCATGGTTCTTGCTTTGAGGCTTTTGGAAATACTACCTCAGCTATGAAATAATCATTGATAAGATCATAATTTTTATGGGAGTGCATGAAAGAATAAGAATTGCAATAAGAATTTCATGCTTATGTGGAATGGAGGAAATGTCAGTTCATCTTCTGTAATAGAATTAACCCTAGCTATTGGAATATTGTTAGTAAAATAAGGGAACTTTTGTTCTAAGACAAGATCAAATTGAGCTCTTCTATGATTGCCGAGGCAGCATCCTCTATGCCATCAGTATGTAGGAAGTGCTTTATTGAAATGAAAAATGTTATTTAAAGAAAATCAACAAAACAACCAATACCTAGTTTATGAGATTTCAACCTGCTTAGAAATTTGCAGCATTTAACCCACAATCATTCTTATCATGCTGGATTTTTTTTTCAAATTGCTCTTGTATTTGTAATTCACCAATCCCATTTTTGTGACACTCATAAGGAAAATAAAGTTATGTTCAAATTCTCTTTGAGAACTCAGCTGGTGCTAGTAGTTGCCAGCAATGTAAATTGAACCTGATCAAATTGTTTGCTAATCAGGAACATTCAGTACATCCAAGTGAAAGTAATTAGGTCAGCAGAGATTTTCAAAATCTTTATTACTATGTGTTTGATAGCTCAGCAGTTGTCTTCTAATTTATCAGTGGACTAAAAAGAACCTGTGTATCTGACCACTGTGGAGGTCAGTGTTAAGTGGGACCTTTCTGTATTCTCCTTCCACTTGTCCCCATCTTCCTCCTTTGGTACTCCTTGACTTTCAAACAGGCTTTTTTCATCCTGAATCAATCCTTTTGCTGTTACAGATACCAGACATTATTTTGCTTCAACAGTGCAGGACACAATGGTGTTCAAATCCATAGCTACTACAGATGCTGGTAGGAATAACAAAATCTCACAAATACATTATGTTTACTCAGACTGCTTGGCTGATTTAAATATAGTCTTGCAAGTCTTGAGTCATGTAATTGTAAAAACATGAGGGTAAACTTAAAGTAGTAATGCTTCAAAACTGCATTATGTCCTTTGAATATGGTCTTCATAACTGGTAAAGGTCTATTTCCTGCAGTAAGGTTCAATATGCTAGCTCTTACTGCATTGAACAGAAATAAATCTTATAGTCTGTGCTGTGATGGTCAGACTGGTTGTGATGCAAGCCTGTTCGAAGCTGGGGCAGACCCTGACAGACAGGTTAGCTGCATGGCCTTAGCTCAGCCAATCTTTGGACTGAACAATTACTTCCAAGTAAAACATTTAGTTGGATATGAGAACAGTTTTTGTCCTTAGAGAAATAGGATTTGGGGTTAGCTTCCTGCAAAAAGTAATCCATTTTTGAAAATGGACTTTCAGTGTCAGAATGAAAACTTCTGTAATGTTTGTCCAAGTTATCATACATTTGGATTTGCTGGCCCATGATGGGAATTTGAGTGTGCACTAGGGAAAAAAAGCTTGCTCTTTCAGTCTTCCTATCTCTGTATTTGACATTTTATCAGATGAACCTTTTTTTTTTTTTTTGCTGGTGGTGATGGTTTTCTTAGGTTATTTGTAGTGTGAATTCTCATTCTGGGTAAAAGGTGTCACTCCTATGACATTCTGTTAAAATGCAGTTTTCTGCAGGTGCTTCTGGTTAGCTGCTTAATCAGAAAAGTCCAAGCACATCTATGCTAAAAGAGGTTTTTTCCTGGATATGTCTGTGCACATAGGAGATGTATCACAAAGGCAGAGAGGATGTTCAGGGCACAGGTTATTCAGCAGGGTGCAGGGCTGTGGCTGTACCAAGCCTGCTTCCAGCTCCTGTGTCTGCAGTGTGCTTTGCTTTCATCGCCGACTGCAAGAGCTAACTGCGGTGGTCTGTAGGTGCTGAGAACTGCACATCAATACACGTGCTTGGATTCCAGAATTGTCTATGCAGATAATTTTTAGCTAATAAGAAATCAGATAAATTAATGAATTCTAGATAGATGAACATTTTTTAATGCTTCTGCAGAAATGTATGCTCGCATTTAGACATTTAAACCCCTTAAAAATTTGTTTTCTGATGTTGTGGTGGCTAGGATTGGGAACATACAGAGGAAAAGAGAAAAATAATAGATGACGGTGAGGTCAGGAGAGTTCTGCTTTTCCATTAATTTTCTCTTATCCTCAGCATGGCACTTTCTTGTGACACCCCTGATTATATGATGACCCAGTTCTTTACTCCAAAGATAGGATCATGCTGTGGGAAAGACAGCTGAGGGCTGCTGCACATCCCCACCACTGGTGTGGGTGTTAA